ATTTAGTAGTCTGGCAGTTTTTGTGTGTATAGTCCTTGAAATTTTCATCATATAAGACCATGTCATTAAAAATAGAGAACTTCTTTGTTTTTTCTTTTGCATAGGCTAGAATCTACTATACATACCTAGCGTAGTACAATATTAAATACTAGCTGTAAGAGTAAACATATGGAGAGCAGAAAAAGCACTTGAAAAAAATCTAACATCTGTTCTTAAAAACCTGTATAAACAAATGTGCATGAGAACAGCCAGTCTTAAGTAACCAAATGTGCTGACTACTTGGAATAGGTAGAAATTCTTCATATAAGACCATCAATATCTGTATAGAAAAGAAAAGAACTTTTTTTCACTATTCTCAAGGTGAAATTTAGTATTTCCTTGTTTTTGAATGCAGAAAATAGTTGTAATATTCTCAGCAGAGGCAAGTTTAGTACCAATAAATGCTACTTTTTCTGTATTCTTATTTTAAAATGTGTTTCTTAAAACAACATATACAGTAGCTATCATTTGTTTATCTTGCCTTTGAATTATTTAGATGATTTGCATTTGATGTAATGATGTGGTTTTAATTTCACTATTCTGTTTGTGTTCTTATACTTTCTATTTGTTTGTTTTTTGGTTTAGTTTGATTTTTTGCTTGCTTTTTTGGTTTTGGAATTTTGTTTTGTTTTGATTGTTTTTTCAGGTAGGGTGTTGCTATATAGTTTAGGCTAGCCTTGAATTTATGGCAATCCTCCAGCCTTAGCCTCTGGAATACTACCATTATAGGCATGGACCATCATGCCCACTGCTTTGCTTTTTTTTTACTTTCTTTCCAGCTAAAAGTGTACATGAGGTACAGTGCTTTGGTGCATGCAGACAGTGGTTTTTAAAAACAACTAATTAATATATGCATCACCTTGCAGACCTACCAGAAGGTTTTATCTCAGCTGTTGTATTATTAGCCATGCTTGCTTTTTTTATTTTTCACATTTGTTTGTTTATTGTAGTGGTTTATGAGATGCTTAAAATATGAATCTTTAACATTATTTTCAAATGTTGAACTAGTTCAGATGTATTCTAAACACCTTCAATAATGTGTTTCCTTTTTCTTTCAATATTGTATTTTAGCTCTATACATGTGTTATGTTAACTGGTTTTGTTTTACATGATTAAAATATCTTTTAGATTTACTCTCATTTACTTTGTTTGAGCTGGTGAACTTTTCACTATAGTTTTTTAGAAAGGAGTTTGAAAAAAATTTTTTTACTTTCATTTCTGAAAGATGTATTTGTTGTATTTAGCTTTTCATATTGATTTTTTTCCTGTTGTTTAAAGATGTTCCTTTTTTCTCTAATTTTAAAGTGAGTAACCAAACTAAAGTTCAGTGAAACAGATAAGACAGTAGGAAATCTACAATAATGCCTATATTGTGTATTGTTATCCTCTAAATAGTGGCTTCCACTACCAGCTTTAGTCTTACAAAGTCAAACAAGCAATTAGTTCCTCCAAATCAGCCATTGCTGGTTGGGGGGTGGTTCTTCTGCTCCCCTCTCTGGCATCACTTCCTTCTTGGTTAAGATGTTCCATTTTTTTCATGTCTTATATTGCTTTTCCAGAAGTCCCAAGAAACCTGTGTATATTTTTCCTTCTTAATTTTTCTTTCCCTTCCTACCTTACTCCCTTCTTTTTTTTGATTACTGTCCTCATGGTTCTGCAAGGGATCAAACCCACAGACAGCCTCACACATGCTTACTCAAAGCCTGGAACATTGTGTATCACTGTGCCAGCTTATTGGAAGATTTCGCTTTCTGAGACAAGTTGCTAAGTTTGAAAAGACACATTCTGGATTTCATTGTTCCATATTTTTCCAGTGTAGGAGCAAAGGTGTGAATTGGTATGTTTCATTCTAGGCCCATTCTCCTGAGACTTTGACTGGTACTCCAGGAAGTAGATTCCTCACCTCAGACTTTTATTCAGCAGTGTTGTCCTCTGCAATAAGCTACTGTACATCTTTTCAAACAGCACTACACATCCTGCTCTCTTAGGCAGGAAGGGAATTCTATGGCTTCATCAGCTGATCTGAGTCTACCAGCCTGGAGAGAGTTTCATACATGACACATAGTTAAAACATGATAGAGTTTCTCTTTTAGCTTTGTCAAAGGTGAGAATTTCAAAGAATTGGCAGCAGTTCTATACTTTTTCAAACTTTTATTCAGGAATATATAACTTTTATATCAGTACTATATATAGATAAGATAGATAGATAGTACCTAACTAAACTTTGTTCCTAAACTTTTCTCCCTGAAACTTCTAAGATTTTTTTTCTAATTGATAGCTTTTCAAAAATTTGATTATTTTACCTTTCTGTGATTTTTCTTTATGTGTATACTAGTCACTGAGTTTCTTGGATCTATGTGTTTATAATTTTTATCAAATTCTGTCATTATGTTTCAAATAATATTCTCCTCCTATTTTAGTTATACATTCACTAAACCCCTTGATAGCTTAATATTATCCTGTGATTGTATTCTTTTTTATCTCCCTCCTTTGCCTACCGTTCCTCCTTTCTTCCCTCTCTCCTGTTTCCCTTTTCCTTCTTCCTCTCTTCTCTCGGCCTCTTGTCCTCCCTCCCTATTTGTGTGTGTCTTTGTGTGTGTGTTTTAGATGAGGCTCACTAAGCTGCCCAAATTAGACAAATTCCTGGGCTCAAGTGATCCTTCTTCCTTAGTCTCCCAAGTAGCTAAGACTATAGGCAACTTTCACTGTGCCCATTCATATTCCTCACCTTTTTCTTATGTTTCAGTACAAGTTTTTTTTTTTTTTTTTTTTTTTTTTTTTTGCGGTACTGGGGATGGAACTCATGACCTCACGCTTGCCATGCTGGCGCTTATGTGACTGAGCTAAATCCCCAGCTCTAATACAAGTAATTTTTGTTGCTTCAGATTTTATGAACTTTTCTGCTGCTGTTTTAAATGTATAATTAAGCCCGTCTAGTAAATTTTTCATTTCAGATAATGAATGTTTTTGAATGATAGTAATTCTTGTTATTAGGACTACTATTTCTCTCCTCATTATGTTTTTCTTTAAATTTTTGAGTATTTAAAATAGCAGTTTTAAAGGCTTCATTAGCTAATTTGGCTATCTTGTTTCTGAGGCTGTTTTAATTAATTAATTTCACTCAAGTCACATGTTCTTTTTTATTTTATTTTATTTTATTTTATTTTATTTTATTTTATTGTCTTTTTTTTTGAGACGGGGTCTCGCTATGTAGTTCAGGCTGGCCTCGGGCTTACTTTGTAGCCCAGGCTGGTCTCGAACTCACAATGATCCTCCCACCTCAGCCTCCCAAGTGCTGGGATTATAAGCGTGAGCCACTACGCCCAGCTTAGTCACATGTTCTTTATTTTTTCTTTCCACATCTCTCAATTTGTTTTGTTTTTGAGATGGAGTCTTGCCATGTTGCTTAGACTGCTCTCAAACTTACAGTCTCTCAAGTCTCCCAAGTAACTGAGACAACAGTTGTGTACTACCATACCTTGCTATGTGTATCAGTTTTTTTCTTGGGTGCCAGACATATTTATTTTTGTTTTGTTGAGTAATAGCATTGCTTTCCTTCTTTTAAAGAATTTTGAACCTTATTGGAAGTACTAAATATATCATTTACGATAGGGCTTTTTTAGCTCTACTACTAAGTATGAATTGTGACAGGTTTCTAGTGAGTTCCTGGTCTTTCAACAAGGAAAAATTTTCCAGTTAGAAACCATGCCTGGCATGGTGGCACACATGTGTAATCTTAGCACTCGGGAGGCTGAGGCAGGAGGATCACCACGAGTTCAAAGCCAACCTGGGGTACATAGTGAGTTCAGGGCGAGCCTGAATTACACAGGGAGACCTTGCCTCAAGAACTAATAAAAAAGAAAGAAAAAGGAATCCTATTCCCCTGTACCATGTGAAACTATGGGAATTGTTCAGCTGGAGGTCTTCTTTTCTTTGCTTTTTTTCAGACTTTATGTCTAGCTTAGTGTTGGCCGCAGGCTGAAATGAATCCATGAGCAGATATATATATATATATATGGAGTTTCCTATGTGTAATTCCCTCTGTATTTCTAAGCTCTTTTTGAGTTTTTTCTCCTTGAACCACAGTCTGAAAAGTGTCTTCAAGCAGAAAGCCAGTACAGTTGTGTAGGTCTCACTTCATTTTTTTCCTGTCTCTGAAAAATCACAGTCCTGCTAAGTGTAGTAGTGCATGGCAGCACTCAGGAGGCAGGGCTGGAGTTCAAGGCTAGCCTGGGTGATATAGTGAGTTCAAGGATAGCCTGCGCTACAAAGCAAGACCCTGTCTCAAAACAGAACAAAACAAACATAAAAAAAAAAAAATCAAAGTCCTACCGTATTGGTTGTCCAGTGTCTGAAAAGTGTATGCCTTGCTACTCCATCATGGCCATTGGAAATTACTTCCTTTTATTTTCTATAGCAACTTGGGCTTTATGAAATACATCATTGATATCTGCTAATATTAATTTTACTCTGATCTCCTGTTCATAGCCTAATAATTTCCAAAGTGACATTTTACATGATTCAGGCTAAATGCAGTAATGAACAAAAGAGAATTATTATATGATGTTTTAAGCAAATGAAATAGTATGTGCATTATACATTCCAAGAAAGTAGTTAGATGGCTCAAATTATGGCTTCACAAAGAATTGGGCTTATGATTATAGTTACAGGACAGTTACTGGTTTTAATCATCTTGTTTTCTGATCAGACACTTAAAATAACATGAACAGGCTAGCAGTTGATGTCTTGTCAAAGATAGTCCTTAGTGAATTAAAATTGGTAGTAGCACTATAAACCTGTTAAAAACTGCGTGGTTTTTATTCTGTAGCCTTTGTTGCTCCTTTGAGAGGATCAAGGAAAAAGCAAAATTCTATATTTGATGTGATAGTTGTACATGCTTACGCTATTCTCAGGATGTTTGTTAATTTTTTGTTTATTTATTTATTTATTTTGCTTTTTAGATTGTCAGTATTTAAACAGACCACATCATGCGTGAGTACAAGCTAGTGGTCCTTGGTTCAGGAGGCGTGGGAAAGTCTGCTCTGGTAAGTTAGCCACTTAACTAATTAGTATATATTAACAGAAATTTAACATTACTGGCTTTAACACTTTTAGTAACTAGGGAGAAAATGTGACATTTTTATATACCTAATATCTATCCAACAAGAGACGGGATCATCCATTAAGCAGAGATGTGTTGTTTCACATATTCTTTTTTTTTTCCATTTTATTTTCATTTACTTTTTTATTTACCAAATACTTACTGGTTGCTTTATATATCAAGCACTAGTGTTTCTCATTCAAAGAGTATGATTGTTCTCATTTTTAAGGAGTTCACATTATACCGGGGTAAACTCTTTATTATAGTATAATAGAATAAGTCCTCCTCTACCTTTACCTCAAACTTACATGGAATGAAAGTTATGTTTTGCATATATGCTATATTCATTCAGTAACTTACATTTATACAAATATTTCCCATTTAATGATCTGTTTGTTTAATAACTGCATGTAGTACTGAGGTGTGCTGTTCAGACTTATGACCCACCACTTAGACAAATGATCTGCCCTTTGTTTTTTGTACAGTTCTGTACATCCTATTTATAGGACCTCTGTGTCTTTTTTCTACAGTATACATTGTTTATACAATTCTGTTCATTTCGGTTGAACTGTACAGTAAAATACTATAGTTTTATGTTCCTTTATACATTACAATATTACATTTAGAAATTACACAAATAAAAGCAAAGTAATTAAGGTTGGAATTTCCTTTGAGTGTTTCTTTGTTCTGAAGATTGTATATGCCATATTAGTTGCTCATTTAGCAACCAGTGCGTTTAATGACCTAGTCACAGGTACTGAACTCAGTCATTAAGTGAGGAATGTTTGCAGACTGAGATCATAATAGTGAGCAAAACCAGTGACAGTCACAGTCTCTTAGTAGAGAACTTAGTAGAGATATACTAGAACTTAGTAGAGATATAATAAAACACAATTAAAGAAAGAGCTAATTGATTATACTTGGGAAAGAGATACTCTGAAAGAAAAGTGCAGATTGTTATAGGAGAGCCTATGACAAGTGGCCCTAAATTATCATTTGAACAACTGAGAGAAAGTTCTGTGTAGTTGGAGGCAGGAGTGAGCAGGGAGGAGAGGAAAAGGAAATGAGGTAGCTGATAAACAGGGACCATACCATGGTTTGAAGACCAACAATGAACATGGAACTTATTTTTAATACCAGTGAGAAAGCATTGAAGCATTAAGGGGGGCTGGTACATTGGATGTATCTTTTAATGGGTGCAGTGCTGCTCTGTTTAATTGACAAGAAAATTGGATATAGGAAAAATTGAGAGCTAATTAAGAATACTAAATTACTTTTTTTAAAAAAGAATACTAGTTTATTATTTATGGAAACTTGATTTAGGTCCATGTAGTGAAGAAGTGATACATAGATGGTCTAAGGTTTCAGTGGGAGGTAGACTTGACACAGCTTAGTCTGGATTAATATAAGGTCCAGGAAAGAAGGAACAGTCAGTTTTATGTTTCTGCGATGTTCAAGTGAATTTTCAAGATCAAAGCTTAAAAGACCAGGTATGGTGGCACATATCTATAATCCATCCTGAGGCAGGAAGCTCACCATGAGTTGAAGTACAACCTGGGGTACATAATGAGTGCAAGCCTAGCCTAAACTATGTTGCAAGACCTTGATTCAAAAAATGAAAGAAAGAGCTTAAAAGAGGCTTATGATACAATTTTAGGTGCCTCCAATATATCAGTGGTATTTAATTATGAAAATAATCTCTGTAGACATATTTGAGATTGTATGTTTTTTCAAATGCAAGTAACTTTCAGTTCAGCAGTTTTCTTTCTAAAAATTTATTCTGCATATAAATTGACATGCGTAAAAATGATACTGTTAAGAGCCAAGTGTGGTGGTGCATACTTGTAACTTGTAAGACTCAGGAGACTGAAGATACAATGATAGACTTCAAATTATGTAAATAGTGGATAATATCAGTTACATTTTAGGAGTTGAATTGAGTTACTGGGAACATGGGTGGTAGGTAGGCAAGGATAATTTTTCAAAATCCATAGGAATGAATGAAATTCTCTAAGGAGAGACCAGAAAGAATCAAGAGCTGAGCTTTACATACTTTTCAACCTATAGATAATAGATAGGATTAGAGAATCCATCATAGGAAAATATATCTTGTACTCTGCTTTACTGTAAAGAACATATCTATATGACTGCCCAGAATTCAGATGTAAAAGAGGAAAGAAATGATCTAGGAACATGAAAGTTGTTGAATGTGCCTTAAGTCAGCAATAGTGCCATTACCACACTGAGGTGACTTAAAATGTAAATGAGACTTGAAATGCAGCTACCATATAATACACTGTTGAAGTAACTTGGTATGTGAGAGAACAAAGTAAAGGGGCAGAAACTAGAGGGATCATGGAGTTAAGGGAGGTTTTGTTTGGAGATTAGAGGTAGTGAAACATATTTGTGTGTTGGAGGCAATAATCCAATGAAGAGGAAAACGATAATATACAAGAAAGAAAGGAGGAGAGGATTTGGTATGAAAGTTGGAATAAATTTAAAATCTGTCCACATGAATGAAATGTTCCTGAGAATTGAGAATGTAAGATTCAGAGAAATAATGAAAGATTAGTTTTAGTGACAAAGATGTGAGAAGTATGAGACAATTTTCATGTTTACAAGTCTCACTAGTATCTGGCTCATTAATGTCACACTTGACTTCATTCCTTATTCTACATCCACACTCTTGCAATAGTATGTATTGTATATTCTTTAGAAAACACTGTAAATCTATGAGAGGAGAGTACATATTAATATCATTATAAAAATAGTATGACCTTAAAGACTCTGGACAGTATTTTGAGAACTGAGGCTCTGGTCTAAAGCATATTAGGAAACATATCAGACTATTTTTCATATTTAAATTCATACTGAGAAAATGAAAATAAATACTTGATAAAAATTAAGACTGAAGCTTTTGGTGCGATCATATCCAGATTTTTCTTTAAATAATATGAGTTTGGTAAGAGAAATAAGTTTGAAGTTTACTGTATTCAAGTTAATCTGTTTAGTGCAAGCTTAAATAGTGCATGAAGTATTTCTCTTAGTAATTAAGTATAAATGACCTCTTTCCACATTTTTACTTTTGCCTTAAAGGTAATAATACACCATATCCTGTTTTAAAGCTGTCTAGGAAATATAACCATCTTCTGTACTTCTTTTTCATTTACTGAATGATAAAATACATTGTTTCTAGTATGTGCTTTTAGAAATCTTTGAAATAAAGGAATCCTCCTTTTCTGTGTGGTATACATTTCAAGACCTCCAGTGAATACTAAAAACCACAGATAGTACTGAACCCAATATATACTGTTTTCCATGTACCTGTGTATCTCTGGAAATGATAAATTTATAAACTAGAAGAACAATAGCTTAAAACTTTTGTTTTGTTTTGTTTTGTTTTATTGAGACAGAGCTTCACTACCTAGTAGTGCAGTCTGGCCTTGAACTCACTTATGTATGTATCCTAGGCTTGCCTCGAACTCACAGCAATCCTCCTGCCTCAGTCTCTTGAGTGCTGGGATTACTGGCATCCATCACCACACCTGGTTCACGTTTTCACTTAAACGAAGCACTTTACAGCTTCTCTTCGGTGCAGCTGAGTTGCCAGAATCACTACTTTTATGTTTTGAGTCCACTTTTAACCAAAATAAGGGTTTATTTGAACACAAGTACTGTGATACCTTAACAGTTGATTTGATACCAGCACAACTGCAAAATGACTAATGGTTGAGTAGTATGCACAGTATGGATACAATAGATAGAGAGATGATTCACTATCTCTGAATGTGTGGAAGAAAGCAGGATGGTGTCAGATTTCTTCACACTACTCAGAATGGCATGCAATGTAAAAGTTATGAAATGTTTATTTTTGGAATTTTCTACTTAATGTGGTTGTAGCATTATTAACTCTGGATTACTGAGATTTCAGGAAAATAAACACAGATAAGAGGGGCTCTGGTAGGTAATATCTGAAAAAGATGAGTAAGCAGTGCTTTCCAATGGAAAGAATAATACTTTAGAGGCAAAAAGAAGGTATATTTGAATTTCAGCTGGCAAATGGGAAAATCAGCTACATATGGAATAAATGTGAATTTACTGTGATTGTAAATTAAAAGTGACTAGCTTAGTCCCTAGAACATAACAAACACATATAAATTTAAATTCCCTTTTCTGTTTCCTCCCACAATTGGAAAGAATTAAAAATTTAGTGCCATTGTCTTTTTCCTTTAGGAGCACTATGTAGTTACTATAGGTACATGAAGAGGTATTAAAAACTTACATTTTAATGTTTTAATAAGTTAAAAATCTGGTTTTTGTATCCTCATTGTATTTTAAAATTATACAGTAACTAGCAACAACAATATGGATGAGTTTTTAACATGATCACTTCTTTCTGTAATATGTGTGATGTAACATATATGTTGTTTACATTGAAAAATGATTCTTTACATTTGGGTGTTTACCCAGAATCTTAATACAATTTCATTTAATCTCTATTGCTGTGTAAGATTAAGTAATATTCAAAAAGGTCAAATTTTTCTTTCAAGTCAATGACTTTTGTTTTTTTCCCTTAGACAGTTCAATTTGTTCAAGGAATTTTTGTTGAAAAATATGACCCAACGATAGAAGATTCCTACAGAAAGGTAAATGTGAAATTGTATACACATGTGTACAACTAGATCCTTAGATCTTTAACACTTGATCCTTGGAGTCCTTTTTTTAAATAGTTTTGAGGCTGGGTGTGTTAGCACATACCTGTAATGCTAGTACTTGGGAGGCTAAGGCAAGAGGATCACTACTAGTTTGAGGCCAGCCTGAACTGCATAGCAAAATCTTGTCTCCACAAGACAGAGAGAGAGAGAGAGAGAGAAAGAAAAGAGAGAGAGAGAGAGAGAGAGAGAGAGAGAGAGAGAGAAGGGGTAGGGGAGGGGAGAGGGGATCGGAGAAGGGGGGAAGGAGAAGGAGAAGAGAGGGAGGGAATGGGAGTGGGGAGAGAGAGAGAGAAATAGTGAGAAATAGTTTTCAGCCATTGAAAGTAGATCCAACAAACCGTTGAGGGTTTGGCTGAGTTGTTCTTGCCCAATACTTAATTCCCATTGTGTTAGCTGCTTTTCTCTCATTGCTGAGACAAAATACACCCAAAGTTAAAGAATGAAAGGTTTATTTCGCTCACAGTTTGTAGAAGTTTCAGTCCATAATGGCCTGGTTTCCAGGTAGAGTGGCTTGGTAAAGGGGCATCCCAAAGGAGAAAGACAGCAAAAGCAAGGCAGAAAAGGCAGATACAATCCCACTAGGCCCTTTAATTTTATCCAGACTGCTGGAATGGGTGGTCCTAATCCAGTCACTGGACTGATGCCAGCAATCATCCACTTATAATCCTAGCACCTGTAGTCCTAGCATTAACCATGAGTCAGTCACAAACTCTGGATTCAGCTACCTCTGAAAACCCCATCTAAAAATGAATGAGGCTTTGGGGAGACATCTAGACACACAGCGTAACACTCATCATCACACTTATAGGAAACAGAATATGTGTGTTGGTGATCAGTCTCTGAGTTGTGCATTTGTTATACTCCTATATTTGTGTACTTTTAACAGTTGTATAAATGATAAATTAGTAGTGACTTCTAAAAATAATAATATAGTTTTAAGAAATGATAAAAATGTGCTGTAACTGTTTTAAAAAGTTTCACCTAGACAAAATGTTTCTCTAAGGTATAGAGAGCTCCATGTTTTCGTATTGGTTTGTAATTTATTATTCTTTTTTCTTTGGTCTTTTTCGTTTTCATGTATCAGGGATCAAACTCACGACTGCATACTTGCAAGGCAGGCACTTATGCCGCTGAGCTAAATCCCTGGCCCCTGTAATTTATTCTTTAATGTGTTCATTTTCTTTCTTTCTTTCTTTCTTTCTTTCTTTCTTTTGTTCGTTCGTTCGTTCGTTCTTTCCTTCTTTCTTTTTTTGAGACAGGGTCTTGCTATGCAGTTCAGTTGAGCTCACTTTGTAGCCCAGGGTGGTTTCAAATTTGCAACAATCCTCCTGCTTCAGCCTCCCAAGTGCTAGAATTACAGGCACCACCACACCCAGCCCTAATGTGTTCATTTTCTGAATGAGGAATTTTTAAAAGGAAAAAAGGGATTACATTAATATGAATATATTTTCAGCTACTTTTTGTTAATGAAAATTAAGATTACTTTTATGCTGGAAGTTATCCACTGAGTTGTGTAATACATTTAATAAATTTAAAGATAATTTTACCTTTTGACTAGCAAAAAGTTAGTTAGAATCTGTACAGTAGTATAATGGAGATACACGCTATACATTTGTCCAAACCCATAGAATGTATAATATCAAAAGAAGACTATAATGTAAACTACGGGCTTTGGTTGGTAATCATGTCAGCGTAGGTTTGTCAGGAACCACTCTGGTGTAAGATGTTGATAACCAGGGTCATATGTATGGTAGAAGCTGGAAAAACATGGAAAATTTCTTTCCTTCTCCTCAATCTTGCAGTGAGCCTAAAACTGCTTTTTAAAAAATTAATTGTATTTAAGAGTGAAAAAACTATAGAGTTGGTCTTGATCCAAAAAAATGTAACTATAAGACTAGTTAGAATTGTGGAAATTTTTCACCATTTTGTTTTACAAGTATACTAGGAAGGAAAAGACTGTGTTATAAAAGACTATACCTCTCCCTAATGTTAGAGCTTTCTTTCAACAAATAGGAAAGGATTCCTTTGTTAAATGCTTTTAGGATGTGTTTTTAATAGTCCTGTAAGTTTTGTTGATTTAAGTTCATCAGGAAGTACTGGCAGGGTAATTTAACTATTTTCAAATTGAAAACAAAATTGTGCTCCAGATACACTGCAAAACTGTAGAGACAGTTCATTATTCACTGAACATTGCTGTTTATAGATTTTACTCACCTTTGCGTTGAGGGGCAGTGAGTTAGTGGCACCATGAGAAATCTTCCTTATCAATCCCTGTCTTACACAGAGATAATTTAAAACAAATTATAGGGTAATGGTACATTTATTTTTTAGAGGATAGTGTTGTTTTACTGAAATTTCTCCAGAAAAAGTTGCTAGTTAAATCTTTAACTACAAAACAGGATCTGTACCTAGGATACTGAAGGACTAAGTTCTCTGAATCCCTCCTTTAATGAAAAATTTCCCTACAGTTGATGGTTTATACTCCCTTTAGGCCAGCCTTTCTTCTTTTATTGAATGTGGTAAAATGGAATGCAGAGTATAAAATTTCACCCTTTGCATAGTTTTTCTGCAATACAACTCTTCAGTGTATGAGCTCAGTGTTGCTTAACAATCATGTGTTCTCCTTGTGTCTTAAATGTTGTGTGAATAGTTTAGTAAAATGTTTTAACAACTTGAATATACTAAGTTGACAATTTTCTTTACTCACAAATCTTCTTTTATGTAATTTTTGAGAGAGGTGTTGGGCGTCAAACCCATAACCTCATGCAAGTTTGGCAAATTCTCTATCACTGAGCTACCTCCACTGCACTTTTTTATTTTGAGACAAGGTATTATCCAGGCTGGCCTCAGACTTGTGCTCTTCCTGCCTCAGCTTCCATGATAGGTAGGATTACAGGTATGTGTACCTGTGCCCAGCTTCTTTTGTGCATTTTCAGCCATTTAGTACTTTTGAGCTTTTTCTCTAAATATACAAATAAATACATGCCTTTTTTTCTGTTAGAATTGCATCTATTTAACAATTTTTCTTAAATTCCAAAGTACGATCATTTGCTTTCTAATAAGAACAAATGAAATGACAATAACAAAACAAATAAGCATCATTACATATCCAGAGAATATCTACACTTAACATTAACTTTCTTGGCTTCTGTATTATTAATAGAATGTGCTTGAAGACCCCTATTCTTTATGATACCAACTTTAGTCCCAGCCAACACAAGAAACTGCTAGAAAGTGCTTCATAGTTGTTAATAGGTACTTGAATAAAGAGGCGTAAGGAGAGTATAATGACAGTTTGATGTTCCTTTTTTCATTTTTTTTTTCTTTTCACTCTCACAGCAAGTTGAAGTAGATTGCCAACAGTGTATGCTGGAAATCCTGGATACAGCAGGGACAGTAAGCATGTTTGTGTTTTTTTCTCCCTACTTCCCTTTCTTCCCAGATTTTGCAAGCATGGTTTGTCATGTGAGTAACTCTTCTGTGTAAAAGTAATTATTCTAATTTTTAAAAATTCTTTGAATATATAGGTTCTTAAATTTTCTCAGGTGTGTAAAAAATCATTTGTGGTACACTTAATGCCCACGTACCCTGATTACATTGTATGTTGAGATCATCTGCAGAATCTGTGTTTCTTTGTATTGAGGTAAGCAATATAATGTCAGCATCATCTTTCTAAATTTTAAACTCAGAATTTTAGTTAAGAGAGATATTGCCTTCTCTGGCCACTTGTTCACCAATTCAGTGGATTCAACCTCCTACAGCTTCTTAAATCCCTCTTAGTCCTGTGCATGTGCTATTACCTTTGCCTAAGATCCTGTTCCTCCACATACTGGTAAGAGCTTACTTTCTCACCTTCTTTATCTCCTTCCTGTTACTTTTGAGCTCTTCCCTTTAAAATATAACCTTCAGTTCCCATCCTTCAAAGAAACTCCCTATTCCCTTCCTCTTTTTCTCTGTAACTTTTATTCCTATTTGGTGTATTTTATACTTTATCTTTGTTTATCTCCATGCACACACCTCCTGACATTTTTTATTTTAATGTTCACCATTTCCCCATTATTACAATGTCTGACATACAGTGTACTGGGCCCTGTATGGGTAATTGTTGAATGGATGAACTGGAATGACCTGAGGAAGAGGTTGGAATTTTCAGAAGTAGGTAAAATCATATCACAGCATTTCTTCTGTAAGGAGTATTTTTAGATTGAATTTTTAAAACTCAGATTGGCTCTGTGTGTTTACTCTTCTCATTAATAAGTACCAAAGACTGTGATCTCAGAACAACATAATAGGAATAATAGTGCCAGAATTTCTAACAATTTATAAATGAAAAAACCCAGAAAACCCTAATTTTTACATCCTTCCCAGAAAATACAGTGGCAGCAACACAGAAAGTTAAGCATAGTCTATGGCACACCAAAGTCTACTAGAATTTAAGGTTAGGGAAATGGTTGAGTGATAGCATAGCTGACTACTTGGAATACAAATTGAGCATATCAGCCAGAATAGAACAGATACAACTATTGTAGACATAGTAGACAAGAGAAACTAAGAGCTTACAAAACTTCTGGATTTATGCTATATGTTTAATGCATCTGAAAATGGGAATATTCAAATGTGTAGTTATAAATACTCATACATTTTAATATTATGCTATTTGTACTGTATATATAATGCTGTATATAATTTAGAATATACATAAATACATACATATGTGTATATAATCTTAATGCTGTATATAATTTAGAAGCATTAAAATAAGATTTTAATATAACTAATATCTGTAGTTATACAATGCTGACTGTCACCAAATAAAAGGAAACAGGTTTAAAATTGAAACAGAATTTTAATTTGTTGTGACTATAGCTCAGTGACAAAATGTTAACAATTAGTGAATCTACCTAAAGAAAGTGATCATCATTGCCCTATCCTCATATCTTTGTGATACATTTAATGGCTTAAATAACATGAGCAAATAAAAGTCATAAAGATGCTCTTATAAAGAATCTAGGGCAGAGATGCAGCTCAGTGGTAGACTGCTTGCTTAGCATGCATGAATCCTTGGGTTCAGTCCCTAGCACCACCAAAAACAAACCCAAAGTCTAAGGATTATCAAGATGATAACATTTTCCAGTTGAGATATTGAGTCTGTCTGTGCTGGATGATTAAATTATAGTTTAGTTCTTTTAAATTACTCAAAAAAAATTGAAGTGGTTAAGAATTTCTTCCAGTTAGGGATTTAGCTCAGTGACATAAGCACCTGCCTGGCAAGCACGTGGCTATGAGTTCAGTCCCCAGTACCAAAAAAAAAGAATTTCTTCCAATTCACAGTTCATTGTCACTGTTTCTAGTCACCTAAATCGGGAATAGGAACATTACCTCAGAGTTGCTAAGAACTGTGGTGTGTTATGTCCTGTTTTCCATCATGATAGTATGTAATAAAAAAAAGTAGGAACTCACTTATGATTATTCTGCTTAAAGTATTTCCAGTATACATTCAAAAATTTATATATTTATTTTTTTATTATAGGAACAATTTACAGCTATGAGGGATTTGTATATGAAGAATGGCCAAGGGTTTGCACTAGTATATTCTATTACAGCTCAGTCCACGTTTAATGATTTACAGGATTTAAGGGAACAGATTTTACGGGTTAAGGACACAGAAGATGTAAGTATTTTTCTCTCTATAAGACATATTGTCATCTCCCTGCAGCCAAATTTAAAAAATGTTTGCTTTCTCTCATCATTAGAGGATCTGGGTTTTTTTTTTAATTTGGTTTGGTTTTTTGGTTTTGAAACAGGGTCTTGCTGTGTTTTCAGACTGGTCTTGAACTTATATTATGTATCCCACTATGGTTACTAGCTTACAGTGATCTTCTTGCTTCATTATCCCATGTTCTGGGAGATTCCTAGTGAGCGCTACCACACCTTCCACGCCTTGTTGAGGATTTAAAAGTTATCTTCCACATGTCAAAAAGAGCCCTGGTGACCAAAATAAATGTTAACTTTTAAAATTAACCTAAAAATTATATGAAAAGATGTTTAAAAAACGACCCACGTAGTAAAGTGGTTATTGTGCCAAGTGAACAAAAAGTGAGAAAGAAAAGTAGTCTAAGAATATAGAAAAGTAGAACTGAGGTTGGACTTTGTTATATTAGAAAATGTTTAGCAAACACTAAGAACCATGATGTTCTATTCCTGTTTCTAAAATTCTGTTAATACAGTTTTTACTACATGCAATTTTTTCCTTTGAGTTGTATTAAAGATTTTAATTAACTAGATTTTTAAGGTTTTTTTCTTTAGAAATATATATCCTTATTTGATGTTGTTGGTAGTGTCTTTTCATCTGCAAAAATGAAATTTTTATTTTATATGTTTACTTCAGATTTGAGCTACAGAGAATTCCTTTTCAGTTGTATAAATTAGGCTATAAATTTTTAGTTGTCCCTTTCCAAGTTTTTTGTTGTCTCACATTATCAACAGGAGCACCTTCATATATTCCGGACCTTAACCTTGGTAATTATTGTGTGTTGGAAGGATTAATACAGTATGACTCATGACAACATGTAACTTAATGAATAGTTTTCTTCCTTCCCATAACTAATTTAGCCGAGATAGTTCTGTTTGCATAGGCAATTATGTGTAGATCACTGAGCTCTGATAATGTTAATCCCTTTATTTCATATAGTAAAGGAAAAAGTTGGAGTTGTAGATGTCTAGTGCATTTAACTTGTGACTATTACTTCTTTTAGGTAGAAGGTCTACTGTATCTAATTCTTTTTTTTTTTTTGGTATGGTGTCCATCACCTCACAAACAAATGGCCTTCCCCCTGAAAACCTTTTAACTGAGAAAGTTAATACAGTTTGTTAACTAATTGCCTTACTGGGAATGTTGTAGCTGGATATAGCCAAGTATTTGTGATATGGAGGAAAAAGGAAGGCATGGCTGCCTTTTGGCTTTATTTTTATTTTAATACCCCTTTAATATTTCACCTAGTCTTTGTTGATCATATTGCTACTTTAGCATTTATTGCACCTGTGAGATGAAGCATTTAAATCATTTAGTCCTAGTGAGTACCTATAGATTGCAGGAGATTCCTTTCCTTTCAGACTTTTTTATATTTATATTTCAACCGTTCGCAGCGCTCCCCAAGAGAACATTTAGATTATAGTCTTAAAATAATTTGGCATATAAATCTGGTGTCTTCCATAATTTTTTGTGTCTCCTATCCCTCCTTTCTTTTTACTCTCCCCTAATACACATAGATATATAATCCCCTCACCCTCTTTTTTAAGCATTTAGTGAAACTTATAGTTCTAATAAATACATTTTAGTTGGTGGCAATTAATTGCTTATTTATAACAACAGTCTAAATTGGCAGTTGGGCTAGGGATTTAGCTCAGCGGCATAAGCGCCTGCCTGGCAAGCGCGAGGTCATGTGTTCAATCCCCGGTACCAAAAAAAAAAAAAGAAAAGACTTCTAAGTTGGCAGTTATTGCTTATATTATATTTTTCCTTCTTGCAGGTTCCAATGATTTTGGTTGGCAATAAATGTGACCTGGAAGATGAGCGAGTAGTTGGCAAAGAACAGGGCCAGAATTTAGCAAGACAGTGGTGTAACTGTGCCTTTCTAGAATCTTCTGCAAAGTCAAAGATCAACGTTAATGAGGTAACTTACAATTACTAAGCAGCACAAACAATTGCATTTTAGTTTCCTTTGCTTTAAATTAATAGCCAAAAAATGTCAAAGAGCTCTTTGTTCTATCGCATCATAAAAAATACTATTTCTTTAGCCTGTTTAAGATCACTTTGATAGTTCTAATGAAAGCATTAAAATTTACCTGTTAAAGAAGATAAAGAATATAAAGTCCTGCTAATCCCTTAAAGGATATGCAGAAAGTAGTATGTGAAAAATGTCACAGCACCTTTGTGTCATAACAGTTATCTATCTAGATGCATATAAATATGTTGTGAAGTAGGAAAATGCAAAAATTGAAGTAGTTATTAGGATAAACAGTAGTTACGCAGAAAGATGTTCACACCTTCATGCATATCACAGACTGGTTTCTGAGTGTTACTTGCCTTACCTTTGATATGTTCCTGAAAGTAAGGGACCTGTGTGTGATTAGACATGTAACTGGAACTCACCCAATCCTTAGTCTGGACATGGAGGTTCAGTGGACTCTTTTTTTGTCTGTGAATTTTGCACTGCACTTTATGAACATAAACTGAACCAGAAGCAAACTGTGTTCTGAGAATAAAGAGCCACTAATTTGCTGAGTCTCTGAAAAATCAGTGCAGTCCTAGCAAAACATTAAGAGATTCTCTTTGTTTTTGCTAACTTTACCATACATGTTTCTTTAAAAACCAGACAGAATAGGTTCCTTTCTCTTGCCAATGTGCTTGCCATTTTTAGCATCACAAATCATCAGTCAGAACTCAGATTAATAAAGAACAGGTAAGAGTGGATTACATTATCAGAATCCTGTGTTTTTCTTTGCCATTTTTCTCAGGTCTGTAGTTCTGAGAGTCACTTCTTGCCTAATATTATACTTGTAGATTATTATCTTACTTTTAAAATGACCAAATTATTTTAAATACCTAGGAGAAAAATACCTCAGCTTACTACAAATCATGTTCTTTCAAATAATTAAAAATGCCAGAGCTTGCTTTTTTAAATGAAATCATTTTTAACAGGTACATAAAAACAAGAAATTTATAAACTCACGTAGTCAGTAAATATATATTGGAAGTATCTGTGTTTACCTGGCACTGTGTCAGCAATTCAGGTAACAGTCATCTAGATAGCTACTTTTCTCACCCTTAAGAGATTTACATCCAGCTGGCTTATGGTATCAGCTAAAATGCTAGCACTCTGGGAGAATGAGACAGAAAATTGCAAGTTCAAGCCCAGCCTGGATACCTTCTCAAAATTAAAAAAAAAAAAAAAAATTGTTTAGATCCTAATGAGAGGCCAAGGATATAGCTCAGTGGCATAAGCACCTGCCTGGCAAGCATGAGGTCATAAGTTTGATCCCCGGTACAAAAAAAAAAAAGAAAAGAAAACAAATTCTGCTGAGATTGTTGACAATTATTTCTTACTCACTCCCAATAAGTGAAAGAATATTTGATATACATTCAACTTCAAGTTTCTCTTGTTTTAGAATTACAATTTCTTAGAGGTTATTTTGAAAACTGTGGCCGTGATAAAATTTTTAATTTTTAGTGCAGTCTTTCCCTTAACAGAAGGTAATTTTAAGAACATGTGAGGGTTGGTGAATGCCCTTCAGCTAGTGGAACAGTGATGCAGGGTCACCTTCTGTAGTCTTACCATAAGATCTCATTCCTTATTGTACCTGTCCTTAACCATACTGGCACCCACTTGCTGAGTTCAGCAAGTCCCTTGGGGCTGAGTTGGCCATGGTCCAGCAGGCAGACTTGTTTTTAGTATCTTCATGGGAACCTACATGTTAACTAAACCTCTTTTGGGTTGTAGTCTATGTAGTTGAACTTTTTCATGACAGTCTTTTCAATCCTTGACAGGAGAGTCTAAAACAAACACAGAAAATCAGTAAAATAAAATGTGTTACTCATTTTAAGAACATATACAAACTGCATACTAGAAATTCCTGAAAATATAATTTGAGGTTATTGTTTTTTTAAGTTTTCTCTCTTTGAAGTCTGAAAATCCAGTTAATGAATTCTTTTCATAGTAGTTCCGCAGACAGCTTTAAGATATCTGGTAAATGTGTAATTTCTGAATGCCTGCGGATTTGGGGATAATACTTTCTCAATATTCAGCTCTTCCTCTCAAATTTGAAAACAGACAAGGACTACTGCTTAGGCAGAGCCCTCTAATTCTCTAATTGTTTGTCTTCAACTTATGTCCACACCACTTTTGTTACGTTCTGAAAGTAGTGAGTAGCTATGCCAGAATCACATCCGTCTTAATCAAGAATTAATTTGTTCTTTGCTGAGGCTGGAATAATAATTGGAATCAAGACATCCCAATTTAGGAATGGGAGAGGGATTGAGAAACTCTATTCTGTGTTCCCTTTAGATTTTTCTATAGTTCAGAGAGATGAGGAAGAACCTAGGCTGGGGACTTTCAGCATTTCTAACCCAATATTATAGTTCGAACTTGCCCTCATCACTGAACCATCTGCTGCTGTGAGGTAGGCAATGCTTTCCAAAGAAATAATTTAGACTATTTCTACAAAAATCCGTTACCTTTCTGTATAATACATGCTAGAAACTGGAAACTAGCATAAAGAAACTAGAATTGAAACTACCTGTGTGTAATTACTATCTGGCTTACCATGTTACTAGTTTTTGTATTATAGGTTATAGATTAAGATTCAGGAACAAATAAGAGCTCATTTGTGGCTGACGCATATTAAGTTCTTGAAGTCTTTAAAGTTGTGAAACAATTTGAAATGTAGAGTTGTAAAACCAATTACCATTTACCATTTTGTTTATAAATTCTGTTTTCAGACTTTTCTTAGAAATAAGATAATAGTTAAGTCGTTTCAAGAAGATGGGAGTGGGGAGAATAAGCCAAAAAGAAGAGACAGTAAAGTATAAATAAATTATAGCTTTGAGGTAAATCATTATAGCTTTGAGATAAATCATTATATTTTTTAAATAAATAGATGATTATCATCTTTAAAAATGTAATAGTTTACTAACAATGTAAGCCAGTAATTTAAAATACTTTACCTCTAGAATTTACTCAAAAGAGCTAAAAACACTAAAAATGTATATACTCTTAATATAGATTACCATTTATTAACATTTTTGCCATATATTTGCACCCCTTTAGTATTAAATATTTTAGTATGCGTTTTCTTGATCAAAGACATTCTCTTACATAAACACAACACATTAAAATCAGGAAAATTAGAGTAGGGGTGTGACTCAGTGGTAGAGCACTTTCCTAGCATGGACAAGTTCCTAGGTTTGATTTCCAAAGTAAATCAAGAAAAATATAATTCATGTTTGGTATTTTATTCAGACTTTGTCAGTTGGTGTTTGTGGTGTTATTTAAAACCAGTATGTTTTAAAATTAACCTCTACAAAGCACTATTTATGCCAGATAAGTATTAGGAAGGAATATTTATAATATTTATTTGTATTCCAAGTCATTAACAAATTAGTGTTTCCATTTATGGCAAAGAACCAAATTTAGTTTATTTCATGTTTCAGCGCTTGAATGTAGCACTGTGAAACTGTACATAAACATCAGAATTAAAATAATCTGCTTTTGTGAAATAAGTAGCATTGTACTTTGGTCTTTGGTTCTATGTATAGTACTTCGCATCTAGGATGACTCCACAGGATTTTTTAACATAAATTTGTTACTTCAGATCAAAGATCAATAAGCTCTTTCTGTTTTGTGCTTTAATTAAAATTAACCTCACCAAACAGAGGCAGGTAAAAATCACCTTCCTATGCATATGCTACCTGAAGACAGACATAAAACATTTTATCTTATTCCAGCCAAAAATGTATAATGTGAATCTAACCATGAGGAAACACAGACTCAAACTGAAGGAAATTCTATAACTTTACTAGCCTTTATTTTTCAGAAATGACAATGCCTTGAAAGACAAAGTCCAGGGAATTATTCTTCATTTTAAAAAATTAAAGTGTCATGAAAGAAAGTATATTGTGTGGTCCTGGGTGGATTCTGTCTCTGGAGGGGGAAGTTAATTTTTAGGGCGTTTTTGGGATAACTGGTGAAATTGAAATTTGCACTCTAGATAATACAAAGTAATGTTTCAGTGCTTAACATGTCTTGAATGTGGTAACTGTCATATGGTTATATAAGAGAATATCCTTGTTCTTAGGAAATACACACTCAACCATTAAGAGATCTGTGGTGTGCATACTACTCGCAAATGGTTCAGAAAATAAATATGTGTATGGAGAGACAAAAAAATAGTAAAGTAAAAGTGGCAAAATGTTACTGAGTGGTGGATCTAGGAAGAATATACAGAAGTTCTTTGGTACTTTCTTACAACTTTTCTGTAAGTCAAAGTTTTCACTACATTACTTTTCACTGCCAGGTTTGTTGTTTTTTGTTTTTGTTTCTGTTTTTGGATGCCAGTTATTTTTCTTAGTCTAACAGCAAGTGTACTTCCTAAATAGGTAAGTACTGCTTTACACTGAGTGAAAGTCAACTGAGACTTCTAAGAAACCTGACTTCAAAACAAAGCAACAAAATAGTAGGTTGTAGAGTAGAATAATATTTAACAAAACTAAAGTTGTTTTTTAGAACAAAGTCTCAAATACTGGTTGTATAAATACTTTTTCTTGTTTTTATTTAGATATTTTATGACCTGGTCAGACAAATAAATAGAAAAACACCAGTGGAAAAGAAGAAGCCTAAAAAGAAATCATGTCTGCTGCTTTAGATGTGAAGTCAGCAGCAGCTCTGAGCCAGGTAAGATGCCTTTCTCATCATCACCTCCTTCTCATTTCTCAGATTCTGTGCCTTATACATGTGATATACGTAATAAATACTAATTTGTTGGGAGAATTCCTTCCCTCCCCATGAGAGTCCTACAGTCTGAGGACTGCTCACCACTCTATCCCTAGTGCCTGTTGCAGAATGAGTATTCAAAATGTGTACTTTGAGCCTAGGCATGTAACTCAGTGGTAGTGTATTTGCCTAGCATGCAAGAGGCTCTAGGTTTGATCCTTAGTGCTGCAAAAAAAAAAAAAAAAAGAAAGAAAGAAAGAAAGAAAAGAATAGGGCTTAGCTATATATGGTGGCACATGCTTACAATCTCACCTATTCAAGAGGCTGAGATAGAAGGGTCACAAGTTAAAGGTCAGCCTGGGCAACTTATTGGTATTCTGTATCAAAATAAAAATAATAATGAAAAGGACTGATGACAGAGCTAGTGGTAAAGTACTCCTAGGGGTTTAGTTGTCAGTATCACAGGGGAATTGGGGAGAGACCTCATTCTCTTTTTGCTGAGCCTTAAGGGCCTCTTGCTGATTCTTCTGCCCTTGAATTTGTCTGTATGTCATCTGTTCTTGCCTTTGCCTGTATTAGAAGTGGTAGTCTTTAATATACACCATCAAAAAATGGTTGGATGAAGAATTTACCACAGAAAATTTATTCAAAAGCAATTGTCATTCTTTAGTGGAGAAGGAACTTTTATAAATAAGGTGCTGATAGAATAGAAACAAATGTTTTTGTTTTCCTTTTTACAGTCAGGACTGCTAGATGTAATGTGAAACACTAAATCTAAGAAAACAGGATAAACTAAAGTTGATCAATTATAGACTCTTCCTACAAATTAAGTCTTCTATATTTTTAAAAACATTTTGAAGAAAATTTGTTAGCCCTGTTACTGTATACTGTAACTGCGTAGTATATAAATTAGCCAAGATTGTTTTTGGTTTGTGGGTGTGTGTGTGTGTGTGTGTGTGTGTGTGTGTGTGTGTGTGTGTGTATTCATGGGCTCATGCAATCAAACCTGTGGTCTCAAGCATAACTATGCATTCTGAAATACAAATGTAGTCTAAGACCATTGTTTCGGTGTCATTGACTAGCCACTTGCTTACCTTCCATCTTGTGCATAAAAAGAAAACCGAATACGAATGTATGTATGTATGTACGTATATCCGTATCTATATCTGTATCTATTCAATATTCCAGATTATAGGAATGAAGAACTGTTGCCTAATTGGAAAGTGCCAGCATTCCAGACTTCAAAAAATAAATCCGAAGAGGCTTCTCCTGTTTTATATATTATGTGAAGAATTTAGATATTATATTGGTTTGCACAAAGTTCTCGGGAGAAAAAAATTGCTCTGTGTATATCTCTTGGAAAGTAAGACAATAGTATTTCTCCTTTGCAATAGCAGTTATAACAGATGTGAAAATAAATATACTTGACTCTAATACAATTATACAAAAGAGCATGGATGCATTTTAAATGTTAGATATTGCTACTATAATCAAATAATTTCATATTGATCTTTTTATCATGATTCTTCCCTGTCAAGCACTAAAAAGTTGAACCATTATACTTTATATCTGTAATATCAATTATGAAACTTTTCCTCAACTCATTGCAGCAGATAACTTTTTTGAGTCATTAATTTCATTTTATATTTAAAAATTATGAAATATCATCTGTCATATTCTAATTAAAATTGTGCATACTGCTTTGGAAAAATGGGTCTTTTATAGGAAAAAACTGGGATAACTGATTTCTATGGCTTTCAAAGCTAAAATATATAATATACTAAACCAACTCTAATATTGCTTCTTGTGTTTTACTGTCAGATTAAATTACAGCTTTTATGAATGATTAAATTTTAGTACATTTTCATTTGGTTTGTGTGTTTTTGTTATTGTTTATAGATCTAAAACCTTTATTTTATAATGACCACCTTGTTCTAAGTGCAACAGTAGCTCCTTTCTACCTGTTGGCTTTAAACTATACTAACTGGTGATTTCTCTAGGAACAGACTTCCTGCTTTCTGTTCTATATATATTTATTCCATTATACAGTAAAATACATTGAACTACATAGAATAATTTTGTATATTCTCTCTGAATCCTAAAGATTGTATCTTAATAAAATATCCCACTGTGTATTATTTTTATATGTAAAAAGATAAGTTTAATACTGTATCAGGGTTTAACTTTTACTACTTTAATCTTCCACAGCTTGTAATTTCATTAAGAGAATCCTTTTGCCATTGTTAATTTGCATGGTATGGGTCCACCGGTGAAGTGGATCCACCAGCAAAGGTATAGGTCCGTCAGTGAAGTGTTACGTGGAAATCTTTAAACTTGCTTTAAAATGGTTTGAAGAATTTGAGAGAAGTCAGTGAAAGTTAAAATGCCTAAAAGGGATATTAGTAACTTTTGCTCCAAGAATTAGATATGAAGTAGTATAGTACTGTAATATTTTAAAAAGAGTTAAATTTTTAGCTGGCTATATAGTGGTGCTTTGCTTTTTCTTCCCAGTTGTTTCCATTTTTACAAAATGCAGGCTTAAGTAGGACATGGACCTGGGGTGATACTAATGTGTTCTTCATAAAGAAAGAGCAAACAGCTTATTAGCTAGTTAAGTGCTAGAGAAGAAAAGAAACAAGCTTAGGAAACCCTGTGCCTTGTCCCCAAATAGCAAGAAGGAAACCAGTCCTAGAAAGTCTAAATCAAGTGCTCAGGGATCTAGATACTGTCTCATTGCAAGTAGATGTAAAGTAGCATTCATGTGGTCAGTTCATCAATTATTAAATTGAAACTTAAAAGTCAACTCTCATATACAAGCTCTGACCAACTGAGAAAATGTTGAAAAATATTGTTTTAAAAGTTGGAAATTGTATTAATTTGAGTTTCTAATAAACTTAGTTACCTAACACTTCCCTTCTTCTGATCTAGTTATGTATACGCTTGTGATTAAGGGACAAAAGAATATAATACACTTGAAAAATAAGTGAAGCCATGTAGCCAGTCTCTGTGGATCAGAGAGGCCTTTTTTTCTTTTTTCTTTTTCATTTTTTAGGTGAGGTCTTGCTCTGTTGCCCAGACTGATTTCAAATTCCTGAGCTGAAGCAGTACTCCTACCTCAGCCTCCCAAGTAGCTGGTACCATAGGCTCATGCCACTGCGCTTGACTTAGAGACATACTGTAGTGTACTATACTGTGAAGTCCTCTGATGTCGTTCTGTTTGAGTCCTTTCAAGGATTCTCTGGACTTAAAATCATAAAAAGAGATCTCACAACTAGTATAGGTTTCTAAATACTACCTTTTTACATAGGTTATGTAGTTATTTGCCTCATTAACTAGAAATCGTTATGACTTTCAATCTGCTTGACTAGTAGCATAAACTCGGTGTCTTCTATTTTAAAATGCAGTAGAGAAAGACAATTGTTATGGATTCCTTTGTGATGTCTTATACATCTCACTTGAACTGAAGAAGAAACTATGGAGAAAAAAGCCTTTTTGCCCCCACAAAAGTAGTATGCACCTGAAATCAGCAAAGTGCATTGGGACCTCAAGAAAAAAAATTATCTTGGGGCTGGGGATTTAGCTCAGCAGCGTAAAGCGCCTGCCTTGCAAGCAGGCAGTCGTGAGTTTGATCCCTGGTACCGATAAAAAGGAAAAAGACAAAAAAAAAAAAAAAAGAAAAAGAAAGAAAAAAAAAATTTTGTTAGAAAATGAGACAGGTGGATTTTTATATGATCCCATATAACTTCTTAATCTTGTTTCCAATGGAAAGTATATCTGAAAACAAGATGTAATTTTATAGCTAAAAAACCAAGTCTCTAGCATATTATGTGGGTCTCATAACTTACCTAGGAACAGATACCATTGTAGTATCTGTGGCTGTTTAAGGCATACTAGCTTTGGCTGTGTAACATAGAACTTAAAGGAAGCTTGATACTAAAATTGATAGTTTGCTTTTTTTTCCAACTAAAAAACTATTATAATGGCTTGTTTGTGCCCCCCCACCCAGTTTTAGAAATTATAACAGTAAATACATAAGCTAACTAAATCTTGCCACCCACTAGGGGGAGCTTCAGTATCATTAATACTTCTACAGGCATTGCATTGAAAGTATTCAAGCCAATCTCTTTGTACGCTGCATTCTTCACAAAGTATCAGGACTCTTTCTCAAAAGGAGTTTATACTCTAACTGGACAGAGAAGTTACACAAGTAAAATTCATCAAGGATATAGATGACACTAACTTACTAAACTGCAGCCACTTACGTAGTTCCTTTAAGAACATTTGGAGAAATATGGTCGTTGGGGTATTATAAGTCCCTTCTTATAACTCCGAACTCATCTCTTTGGCACCTTGATCTTCCATCGTCTGTGGCCACTTTTTACTTCTGAGTGAAACAGACTTCTTCCTTGAAGTTATTATTTACTTGTAAAAGTTAATATTTAGAGGAAATAGTAACCTTTATTTTTGTTACCGACTTTATTAAAGCAGATGATTTAGAGTTATTTTTCTCTACATACTTTCCTCTAATAAAACAGTAACACTTTTTTTATACCTGAACAATTTAATATATTTTATCCCTTATCTCTTTAGGTACACATCCACTTGTCAGCTCATATACCTGAGTTTTGTTTTAGGAACTATGAGACAAAAAAATGAATTAAGAAGTTGGCATTTCCCTTTCTACACAATCCTGATAGGATGTTAGAAAACATAATATATGCTCTTATAAATTGTATGTCTGTTGAAACCAAAATGTGAAGAAATTGCCAGGTAATTTGCAAGAAGAAAATAATTTCTAAGTTAGCTTTTTCTTTTATTTGAGTCTTACCACTTATTGGAGGTGCTAAAATAACCCAACTTGAATCAGCTCCAAGCTTAAAAGAGCCAAAGTGGTTTGGATGCTTGTCCAGGAACTGGAAAGAAAACATCTTTCAGACAGGGAAATGAATGTGAGCTTTGAGGCAGTCTAATCACTCAGCTATTGGCATTCATATCCTCCAGAAACAAAAATTAAAAGTCATTCTTAAGAATGTACAGATATTCCACTGATAGGGGTTTTTCTTAGTAGCAGTTTTATCTCAGGTTTGTTCAGTATGCATTCCACTTATTGCACTGTCTTGCTTAAATATTTTTGTTGAGAACAGCTGAAGGCTTTAACTGGATACCTAATTCTGTTTTCTCAGAAGGCAACATGGATTCTGTTTAGGGGTATTGGAAATTCAAGTTCATTGGGCTTGTTAAGAAGTAGCCTCAAAAAAAGAAAAAATATAAAGTAGCTTCTTGTGATTCTGGGCCCAAGGTGTGACATATAATTCCCACTAATTGCTTCTTTTAAGAAGTAAACGGATAGCTGTTTCTCTTAAGAAAAAACATTAATAAACCTTTCTATTTTAAACAGTAGTGTGACTCTTATTTTGAATGTTGTTTGTAATGATTTTTTTAAAGCTTACCCAGGTCCAGCTTCTTAGGTAAATGTTGTAGGGCGTATGCCACATGGGCATAGTCCTTATGGAGCCATCAGGAACACACACTACACAGAGATGCAACGGTAAATAATACAGATGAAATCCTTTGATTTGTGGGGTTTTAATCTTTTTTTTTTTTTTTTTTGATAAAGGGAATTGAACTCATGACATTACATTTGCTAGGCAGGCGCTTTGCCACTGAATTATATCCCCAGCCTTGGAATTTTAATCTTTAGAAAATGGTAAAAAAAAAAAAAAAAAACCTGTGTGTGTGTGTGTGTGTGTGTGTGCTTGTGGGCTCGTGTGTTAATGATGAGTGAGTGCTATGAAAAAGAGTTACTCAGTGCAAAGGATCAAAGTGCTTTGCAAAGGGCTGAGGTAATAATGGGTAAAAGTGAGCAGGTTGGTTATCTGAGTAACATTTGAAGTGTGCAGCCTATGTAACTGCCTTGAGGAAGGAAGGACCCTCTGTGCGATGGAAAGAGTCTTTGCATATGCTGTATGTATACGTGCCTGACATGTTGGAGGACTAGTAAAGAGATCAGTGTCTGGAGCAGAGATGGCAAAGAAAGAATAGAAATAGATAATGGAGAAGGAATAGGTAGGACTGAACATGGGGAAATTTTCTTCAGTGTTTACTCTGACTGGGGATCCATGGAAAGAACTTCAGCAAAAGGAACATTATGACCTGACTCAGCAATACCATGTCATCAGGCATCCTCTTTCAAGTTGACAATGGCCTATATAGGGGCGAACTTGGAGGCAGAGGCCACTTAGAAAACTGAATGAAGCGATAAACAGTAGTAGCAGTGAAGTGTTTATATTCAGATATGTTTTGAATGCAGAGCCAACAGAATTTAATGACACATATATGTGCAATAGAGATTGGTAAGAATTAACTCCAAGATTTTGAGACTGATGGTCAAGATAATGAAGATTATGATAGGAGCAGGTAGAAAGGATAACAGAAAATTCAATTTTCATCATGCTGATTGTGGAAAGTTTCACATTCTAGAGATTTATGATAGTTGAATATGAGTCAGATTCAGGGAAAGAGATCTAAGTAGAAGATTTACATGTAATATTTTGAAATGTGAGATGAAGCTAGGTAGGATGGCTAGGAATGAGTGTAAATAGAGATCCCTGAGGTACTGTACAGATGAAAAGGAATTAGAAAAGCACCTTATGTGTTGACACAAACCTGTAATCCCAGCTACTTGGGAGCAAAGGCGGGAGAATTGGAAATTTGAGGCCAGCCTGGGCAGCGTATTAAGACCCTGTCAGAAAAGGGTTGGAGATTTAACTTGGTGCAAAGGCCTTGAGTTTCATCCTCAGTACCATACCACCAAAAAAAGGGAGAGATATGGTAGAGACCTTTACGGACAGTCAGTGGTATGGTAGGGGCAATGTCAAGGAAGTATGGGGAAAAAGTTCTTAACTTCAGACATCACTGGCCACCTAGAAAGAAACATGAAACAACACCCGTGCCTTAATAGGAATGACCCACTGAGTAAATTAAGCACAGTCTATGATGAAAGTGAGCTGACTCAGATACAGTCTATATATAGGAACTTGTCATGTACAAATAACTAGTGTGAAGCATTAAGAAATTTTAAGCCTATAGTCCCAGCTACTTGATGCTGAGGCAGGAGGATCACTTGAACAGCCTAGACAACAAAGTGAGGAGACTCCTTCATGGAGGAGAGGGAGCAGAAATTTTAAGCACAGAGTACTGTGATGGAACAATGATTTTTATTCTAAAAGATTTGAAATACTCCAGAGAGAATAATTTGATCTAGGCCTTTAAGGAAGGGTAGAATTTTCCACAAGTTACAGTAAAAAAATTAAAAAAATAGTTACAGACAGATTTCAGGGAAAAGCCTGGTACAAAAGATGCTTGAACAGGAAGTTGCCTAGTTTTGACTGCTTTTGCATATGTGGATAAAATAGCCTGGAGTGAATTAGGACCATAGCATGGCAAGCCTTGCAGCAAAAAGTTGGTGACCTAGGAGGTAAAATTAGGTAAATTAACTAGAGCATAGACTATGTGAGGACAGGCATAGAGAAATTTCAGAATTCAGAATGAAGGGGTTACTCCCATGATCTCACATACTTCTCCCACTCTTTCAGTTAAACCCTTTTTCTCTAATAAAGATGATCTTTGAGGCACATGATTGAGATCAGTTGGAATAGTTCAATTTGGAAGGGAATCAACAATATTTTAGCACTCAAGAAATGTTAACAGTGAAGAGAGAAAACATCTTTTCTTTCTGTTTTTCCTGCTTTACCAGTCATAGTACCTGGCATCCAACAGTCACACAATACTAATTCACACTCTCACTCTCTCAATTCTCTCAGGTCTTCACTGCCCTTCTAGCCCTTCCTATACCTCTACAAGACTGTATAATGAATGCTTTATGAAATAACTTTTTTTAATCCACTCATACGTCTAGCCCCTAGGATCCCATCATCATTCTAAAAGGAGGGCCTAAACCATACTTAGTTCAGTGCCCTGCTGTTAAATTTGTCCTCAACATTACTAAGATCTTTCTGTCCCAATTGGATGGGATAGTAGTGTGAAGGAGTGGGCAGGATTAAGGGAATGCTAAGCATGCAGTCTTCCCAGTTTGGAAGAATAGGATTTAGAGTAGTGGGACCAGAAATTGGTCCCTCTCTCCCTGTCTTCCTTGGAGGAGGTTACATTTTATTTATGTACTTACTATTTTGCAGTGCTGAATATTGAAATCAAGGCCTTCATACTGAACTACCCTTTTTACTTTTGAGACAGTCTTGCTTAATTGTCCCAGCTTGCAGTTCTACCTCAGCCTCCCGAGTTGTTGGGATTATAGGCAAGTACCATTGCTTTTGATTTTTTTAGAATGTGTGGACATGCTGGGGATTAAACCTAGGTACTCATCCACATGAGAGAAGCCTTCTTATCATTGAATTATACTTCTAGCCCCATGTGGAGTAATGTACTTCATGGAAAAGTTAAAGGTATTGAATTCCTATACTCCCTAGCCTACATCAGAAGCTTTGGAATTCTTTGGGCCCTTGGAATCACTGATAGAAAACTAATCCCTTATTTTCTGGGATATGAATTGACTTTTATCTGAACAGATACTTGGAACTTCAACCTAGGTACTACAGCACCTGCTTTTGTCAGTCTGGACCAAAGCTCTGGTCCCTAAGCCAGATGTGGCTATGGAAGTTGTGTGGAGACTTTGGGCTGGTGCCAGCTTGGTCAGCTCTGATCAGGAAGCTGTGTCTATGCAAGGGTTCCAGTCACTGCACTTAACCTGTTTGAAAGTCCTTCTTGCATTTAAAAAAAAAAAAAATGTCTGATGACATCTTTTCCCACTAAGTGTACACAAATGGCTTTACCCATTTTCCCTTGCTGGCATTTCAGCCCAGCAGGGAGACAATGCCTGGAGCATGGCCAATAACAGGACTGGAAGTAGGGAAGGCATTCAACACCTAACTCTCCACTTCCTTCCCCATTGCCCTACCCTGCCCTGTTCGCCAACATCACAATGCAGGGAGGAGGAGCTAGCAGACTCAGTGTCCCCAGGAAGCAAATTTGAAGGAATTCCAGGGTAGGTAAGTCTGGGACTGGGTATTACGATGAGGAAATGAACCATGTATGGAAGCCTAGTAGAAAGGGGTCAAGAAAGAAGGAGAAAACTTGCAGGCTGGAGTAAAGAAAATAACCTTTCAAATAATAAGATCTGCTTGGCACTGAGCCACAAGAGAAGTGGCTGTGATCATCTGAAGTTAGAGTTTGAGCCCTGAACAACCCACTGAGAGCAGGACAACAGGGATGGGTGGAAGGATGAGGGCTGAGGCTCCCCATACATCTGGCACTGAAATAGAACTGGCCTAAGGAGCAGAACATAGGGCACAATCTCTTAGAGAGGGGTCCTGGGTTGGAGAAATTGCATGTTATCTGACTCTAACTGCTGCTTCCTGTCTCTTGGGGAATGGAGGCAGCTGAGAAAGCCTTGACTGTTGACCTTCCATACAGGAGTGTAAAAAGAATGCTCAGCCCAGGGATTAGGGTGGAGGTCACATTCGGAGCCCTACACTCACTGCTAAGGAGGCACGAATCATGAATGAGCAGTTACTACCCTAGAAGTGCTCAGTCTAGAAGGGGAGGACAGTGTGCACGGAGTGAATTACAAAGTACGGTTGTGGCAGAATTTACGATCGGGCTTGGGAAAGGCTTCACAGGTAAATATCCTTCAGATGCACAGTGAAGGCTAAGGATAAACCAATGTGACGTAATGGAGTACTGATTCCTTAGGAAACGGTAAAAAGGTGCAAAGTAAGTGGCATTAGTAAACTCAAGCTTGGAGCGCTCAGTAATTTATCTCCTTCAAGATAAATTTCTTGAGCAAGATAAGCTAGTTAGTGGCCAGAATAGGCAAAGTGAGGCAGTTGGGGTCTAGTTGGGCACAGCTGATACTCTGATACCTGGAACAGACAAGTGTGGAAGCCATAGGAGTTCACACAGGCAAGGCATCCTGCACCCCCCTCTTTTGTTCTAGTAGACTCTAGGAAGCACTTCCACAGCCTTCATGAGCAAAGGGCTGAAGGGAGGACAGCAGAAAAGGGAATTCCAGCAGCCAGTGGGGGCAGAAGATAGGCTACAAGAAAACGAAACCTAATTCTTAAGAAGTTCCCATGCAGACTAGCACCCAGATGCAGTTTCAGACAGGGTGCCTGAACCACACCTCCCTAGCCAACTGGACTTTGGTTTGGGTATTGCTGTTAGAAAAAGAGAGCTCTGGGCGGGGATGCCACCCCCTAGCTGGGTAGTAGTGCAAAGGCAGTGAGTTGGGAACCAGAGAGCAGAAATGCAAAGCACATCGGAGACCGTGTTTGGCATTAATTGCACATCATTACCATTGCCCCTAGTTGTTTGGGGCACACTGTTCCTCACTGCCCTCTAGCCAGAAACACACAGATAGTGTCAAGGAGCATTGGGAAAGCTGAAGGGAACAAGGAGGACTCCTCTAGTAAGGGATAAGAATACAAAAGTATCAGCTTGCTGCAAGGATATTGGTGAGGCTGATGTCTATGTGCCTGCATGTGTACCTGTGCCCAGGAGTATGTGGGTGTAGACCAGGCAGGGAATGGAGGTGGTGGATGGAGAAATGTGTCAGGACTGATTGAAGGAGAGAGTGACAGGTAGGGGTAGGAAGTAACTCCTAGGAAGGGGATCTGGACCTGGAGGTCCTGCTTTAGGACTTGGACAGGGGCAAAGCAAGGAGTATCCTCACCATAATCCTTTGGGTGACTGGTGTATGATCTTGTCCTGAGGCCTTTCTAGCCCATCACCTCTCACTAGTCAATACCAGCCTGAGTCTCCAAAACCCCCTCACAGAGTAGGGAATGGATTTGAAGACAGCCATGGTACCCTTAGGCCATTGACCCCAAGGTCTTAGAGGAAGTTGAAAGAGCTGTGTTTTGGCAGAGATTGTAGCACCAGTGACCTAGGAAGCAGATAGGAAACCAGATTGAGGCCCCAAGGTGACCTGGAGGAGGTCTGGGATGCAGGGTGGCAGGAGTGTCCCTGAAGCAGATCCATAGGCAGTGGGAGGGGGTCCTTAAGCACCTACACTCCAAGGCTACTGCCAGTCTCCACCCCCGCCCCACATACCATCCTTCCAGAGTATGAACATATTTGGCACATACTGCCTCAAGGTATCTACAGTATGCAAGACCATATTCACCTCTGTGATAGTCTCTGATCCTTGCCACAATCTTATGAAGTAATGGGAATATAAATTTTTTTTAACAGTAGAAAAGAACAAGACTTGGAGAATGCACTTTATTTTTAGCAGTGTGCCTTGAGTCTCATGGTTAGTGCTGAGGTGGAAAATACAGACTTTGGAGCTTTCCTACCCCAGGCAGTATACCTGCCTCCTAGGTTCACAGTCTTGTAAACTTCCCGGCATTTCTGTTTCAGGGATGAGAAAATCGAGGGTCAGAAAGGTCAAACAGTATGCTGAAGTTCACACAGTGACAGAAATGGGTCTCAAAACCTGTCACACTCCACCATTCAGTGCTCATATCAAAAAATGGGTAGAAGTTCCCTAACTACCATGAGTGGGGAGCTCTGTTCTGGGAAAAGCTAGAGACAGCTCGTTTCTGAGACAGGCTGGGCTCCTGCTTTTCTCTTAATGTGGGAAAGAATAAGAGCCCCTGTCTCCAGGGCTCTAGGGAGCAGGCAGGGATCCAGTAGGACAAAGCTTAACCAGGTTTCTGTCCCTCATGGCAGTTTTGATTTCAGAGATCACCCTGAAAGGGTTAGGGTGCAGGGTCTTAAAGTGTCTAAGCAAGGGAAAGAGGTTTCAATTTGAAAGGTTGGAAATGAAAAGTGGGAGGCTAGACAGACCAACTGTGCCCAGCAGGGACTCTCCATTTCCTGCTGAGGCTGGGGAACATCTGTAGACACTGGCCAGGGGTGTCACAAAGAAGCAGGTAGAGCCCTGAGCAGAGGCCTGGGCCAATCAGGGTCCCCCATACCTGTCAGCGAAGTGGGCCAGGTTTAGGGTGGAGCTGCATGCTAGGGAAGGAATTAAATGAGCTTCCAGTTCATTTGCACGTCCTAATTAACCATAAAATGAGCCCTAGAGGCAGAATTAAGCTGCTAGTTTCTCTGTACTTCACTTTCACGGTACCTACTGCCTCCTGCTCCCCACTCTTCCCTCATCTTAGGCCCTATGTATTCCCATTTATCTCTGCACTCAGCTTCAGCAAAATAATGGTCTCCATCACCATCACAGCAGGAGCCCATAAGGGGACAGAAAAGTTAAAAATATAGGAGGGTGGATTACCAGAATCTTTCTTTAACAAAGCATAATGTGGTGACTGGGGCATAACATCAGCCCTGTCAAGATCCAAGCAGAATTGCTACACTGGACAGTCAGTATGCCAGGTGTTATCCATGCAGTTGGATGATACGGAGAAGGCAGGTTTTGTTCTTGATTTGATTGTGGGGCAGATAAATGGACATATTGTAGAGTAAGGTGGAAAGCACAAGATTGCAAGCCAGTGGAACCGTTTCAGTCCTGATCTGCCCTTATGTGACCTTGGATACGTTCCTTACCTTCTCTGGGCCTATCCATGTAAGGTAATCATAAGAGCAACCACTTCTAGGGTACAGTGAAAAAGCTATAAGAACACTAATGTAGAAAGGCTCCTGGCACCTATGCTGGCAGAAAATATCACTTCTAAATTGTTATGACTCAAGTTAAAATAAGTTTTCAGTTCCTTGGAGTCCATCTAAGTGAAGGTTAATAAGAATTTTCTTTTTTATTGGATCCTCTTGAGGTCAGATGGTGGGTCCTTTTCATCATACTGTTCTTAGTTCCAATCACAATGCCAGGCACTGGGAGGTATCTGTAAAGTTTTGTTTACTGCCATGACCAGTCCATGAACAGATGAGTCACCCGTGGCTTGGTTTTCTGTAGAATCATTCCAGACTCAAAACTGGTGTCATCTTGAATAATTTGCCGAATGGTCCCCCCTTCTCAGGGACCAAGAACATGTGAGGAATCTTCACATGTATAGTCTGCTCACAATCACATCACCACCACCACCACCGCCAGAGGCAGTCACAGCCGACTTCCCATACCAGGACCTGAACTGTCAAGAGTTCTCCAGGGAGACATGTGGGATGGGCACCTCCAGAGAGCGTATTTGGCAAACTCAAAGCAATGAAGTAGGAAAGGGGAGAGCTATAGGTGCTAGATAACCCTCTGGCTCAAACTTTGGTGCTTTCATTTGCTAGCTGGGCAGCTTGAGTGACCCCTATGAGCCTCCCTTGGTGCACCTGGAATACAATACCCTCTAGGGTCATTCCCAGTTTGAAAGTGTCCACATTGCCTATCAAATAATGAATTCTCAAAAAAGAGGCCTTTGTTTCCCCACACCCAACTCCAGCTCTAATCCCCCTCTAATCTAATCACCACCCCCTGGCAGTCTAGACTGCAAAGCAGCAGTCTTCCTTGTTATTTCCCTTCTTCTGTTTGCTCTCAATGCTCTGAGGAGGGAAGGCATCAAGCCTCTAATTGCAGCTGTCACCTGCATCAGGCTGAGCGGCTGCTCGGCTGCTCGCTGTTAGGGGAGGAGGAGCAAGAGCCCCTCACGGGCTCAACCCAAAGGGAAAGCCCCGGGATAGGACCTAGACCTCTGAGCTGTCTTGCTGAGCTCCACTGTCCGGTTCCCTGGAGCTGTTTTAGGAGGATTGGCTGCCTCTGTGTGGGAGCATCCATTGCTAGGCTCCCCTGCTGACTCTATTCGTGAAGGCTAGTGTTGAGCCTAGGGTGGAGGGGCTGAACAATGGAACTAGGATTAAAGAGTTGGCTCACCTTCACCCTGCTGGTGAAATTACGTGTTCTGCCCTAGAAGGTGCAAGAGATTGGGCCCTGAGCAGAGGCTCTCAGAGCTGCTGGAGTAGGGGCAGTGTGTTTAATTCCAGGCTCCAGCACGTTCCCTGTGGGCACTCCCCAACACCCCCACTTCCCACCTGCCCGCAGTGTTTTAGCACAGGTAGTGTAACTGATGCTGCCTGCCTTGCTTGCCCATTTATAAGAAGGCTTTTGAGTGTGCAGAGTGCTGTACATCTATCCCCACACGTAACACAGGAGGGGTTTCCTAACTTTTCCCACTACTCAGCATACACTGCCCTCTTTATTCAGCCCATTGCCCAGGACCCTGGAGTGGCTCAAATCTATGGCAACGTGGAAGTAGTATGAGGATGGGGATTCCCCTGGCTGCCCTGACCTCCAGAGAGCAGATAGCAGATCTGGGCTTCAGTCTCCATGCCTGCAGCCATGCCTTGCCAGGGAAGGAGCAGCTATAAAGTTGGGAGTATCAGAGACAGGTCATTATTGGGAGCCCCAGTGCCATTTTCCACACATAATGTTCACTTGAGATCTTTGAGGGCAGTGGAGGAATGTCAGAAGGACCTTTTGATCACCCTGTGCCTCCACTACTGTCACCTGAAGCCCCCAAATAAGCACAACACACACATTTTTCCTTGGAGCTGTCCCTCCTCCCCCCTGCCAACCCTGTGACAGCCTCTCCCAACTGCATTCCAGTCAGCCCTGCCCCAGAACTCTGGCCTCCCCCTCCTTTCTGAAGGAAAGGAACTTGGATTTGGGCTTCTGACAGCCACACACCCGCCCCCCTCCTCCCCAGGGGCCCAGCACAGGGACTGGTCTTTTGGGTTCATTCATCTTTCCCTCTAGGATTCAGACCCAAACAGCCGTGTTAATATCAAAGCCTGAGGGTGAAGGTTCCATGCCCTTGGGGCTGTTTGTGGGAGGATTTTCCCCTTGTCTGGGCTCCCCTGCATTTGGGAAGGGGAAACGTCCAGAGCCCTTGGAATGGCTCCACTTTTTGGCCTTCTGGGAGCGTCCAGCCCGGGATTCAGAGACCATGGGTGTCACCCAGCCTGGCTTCTCCTTCAGCAGCCTGTCTCGGTCAGGCCGCACACTACGCAAGAACTTCCTAAAAATATTTGCTGTTAGAGCAAACTTTCGACCCAGCTCCCGGGGCTGGCCTTTCTCTCCTTTGGGCTCACCTGCCCCTCCAGTCTCACCCTTCTCCCCACCCTTTTCCAGTTCTGGTAAGTCTAGCCAGTTGCCTACCAGGTCTGCAAAAACATTGTCCCCTAATACCAGCGGCTGCCGATTCCTGCCTCTGGACATCAAGGTGGAGGTCCAGTCATCTGGTTCCACCCACTCTGGCCCCTGCTGGGTACAGCTTTGGTGCTCTTGCAGCTGTGGCCTGGAGAGGGGGCTGGGATCCCGCCCACAGACACTCCTATGGCTTGGAAACTTGGTGCTGTTGCCAAGAGCAGGATGGCTGGAGGGGGAGGAGCAGGCCACAGGCCTAGCCAGATCTCTGCCACCTTCCCAGTGAGACCACTTGGGCTGTGTCCGGGGACTTTCGAGGGAGACTGGTACAGGACTCCCGCCAGAGATGTCCAGCTGTTCCAACGCCGTCTGTACCTGTAGGAGCTTCAGTTCTTGCAGTGCACCCATCATGCAGTTCATCTGATCCTGTAAGCCATCACCCACTTCCTTCATGGATATCTGAAGGAGAGAGAGAAAGCATAGACCAGTGAGCCACAGGGTGGCTCCTTATTGGCCCTGAACCAAGACTTGCCACCCACCTCTCTACAGCCCAATTCAGCATAGCTTCATGCTGGGAGAGATTTTAATACTGCTAAGACTAAACATGGGAAATAGCATTAACAGCAACAAACTAACTAAATGAGGTGCTGCCCTAAAGGCCTTACAGATGCTTCTCTTATGATGGGATTATGACCGGGTAAACCCATGGTAAACATTGAAAATGCATTTAATACACCTAACCTACCAAACATCACAGCTTAGCCTAGCCTAACTTAATGCTCAGAACATTTCCATTCACCTATTTATACTTAGGCAAAACCATCTAACATAAAGCCTAGTTTATAAGAAGCTGTTGAATATCTCACACAAAGCACTACATGAAAAAGAAAAATACTTTCATACTGGTATTAGAGGAAAATGTTTTGGGGGACCTGATAAGTCTAAAATCGATGTCAGGGACCATGTGTATGTGCATGTTTGTGTGTGCACATACACATGTATTTATAATATATAACTTGATCTAAGTTTAATCCCCCAGCTACCCTGTGAGGTAGTGACTATTATCATTCTCATTTGACAGATGAGGAAGCCGAGGCACCTAAGTTACTTTTCCAAGATTAAGTAATAAAAGATGAAGCTGAGACCAGTTTGAAGGTGCCCAAAGTTATGGTGGCCAAATTTATCCTTTCTGGTGTCTGGGCCCTCTTTCTCTCTGATGGATGATGATGATGATAGTAGTAATAATGATTTGTGAGCATTTGGTATGTGACAGGAATTATGCTAGCTACATGTATCGTCTCATTAAATCTTTAATAAACTCTGAGGTTGCTAATAGTTTTCTCAGTTTAACAAGTGAAAAAACTGTGGCAAGGATGAAGTAACTCACCTACTCACACAGTTCATAGAGTTGAGACTAAAATACAAGACTGACTCACTCCAAATTCTGTATTCCTATCAAACATTGCTTGAATGTGACTGGGCAGGGGCTTGGCTTTAAGGTTACTCTGTCCTCTACAGGACAATAGGGAGAGGTTGAAAGGATTGATTAGTGTCTCCTTTAACTGCTCTTTACATCTGACTGACCAACAGAGAAATAAAGGCCAGGAAATCCCCACTTGATAGAAACCCTTGCCTGGCTCTTCCTACTCTGTCTGTCCTTCCCAAACACCTGTCCTCTCTGTTGTCCTCAGATTTGGCTCCAGCACACCTACTGCCTTCTTAGCCTGACTGATTCTGCTGACCTGGCCAAGCAAGAGTGGGGTTCCTGAGGCCAATTCTTCCAGACCTTTTTTGGGTTTCTGAAGACAGAGTCTCAGGTGCCATTTGGAAGGGGCTGAGAGATTGATTTGGGTGAGGGCCACATTTGGAGGCTGGGGAGAAGAGGCTTTGCCTGATAACATTCACAAGGTTCACTCTCCCTGGGCCAAAGCTGCCTTGGTCCTGCCAGCTCCCTCCCCAGATCCTGATCAAGTTACTCATGGCAAGCTTCATGTGCAGGGGACCATCTGTTTCTTAAGCCCCCCAGAGACCCGTTGGATCATCTTACCTCCTGTCTTAATGCTCAGAGTTAAGCCTGGAGGGCAGGTGGGATAGGTAGCTGGCAGGCCAGCAGGGAAACTCTGCAAGGCTGGGCTGCACTGGCAGCAGACTGGCTCAGGCTTCTGGATTCAATCTTCTCCTGCCAACCCTGGCCCTTGCAGGGAGGGGCATCCTAGACAGACTCTCAGTGAGCCAGCAGCACTAGGACAATGAAGGACTGATTCCCCTGAGGGCAGGGAGACTATTGCTGGAGTGTGAATATTGCCCATGCTTTGTGCACCTTCCCAAAATGGGAAAATAAGTGTTTGTTCAAGGCTCTGATAACCCTGAGATGTGCATGGGCAGGTACATGCATTTCAGGAGTGGTGGCAACAGCAACAAGAAACATGGAGCCCATGGGTGGCTGCACCTGCTGTTGATGGCCCTGGCTCTGACCTCTTTGCTCCTGCCTTTTGCACCTTTTCTTTCAGAAACACTCAGCTGCAACTCCTGAGATCCGGGGCAGCATAAGAGAAGACTCACGCTCAGTTCACTCTTGGAAAACTGTCCCTCTGACTTCCCTATTCTTCCCTAACCCCCAGTCCACTTTCCTGCCCAGCCTGCCTGGAACCTCAAAGACATTTTTGGGCTTCCTCATTCAACCATTGCTTTTTTTTTTAATCCAAATTAATCATGCACCATGTTGAAGTTCTCCTCCCCTAGATGTGTCGCACCTGTCCTTCCATCCCCTAAAATGCTGCAGAAGACTTGTTTAAGACAAAGCCTTTGGGCTACCAGACATTTGAGTGCCTGATCAGTTTTCCCAAACCACACTTTTTTTTTAAATCTTTTTTTTTTTAATCGGTACTAGGAATTAAACTCAGGACTGTGTGCTTGCAAGGCAGGCACTTATGCCGCTGAGCTAAATCCCCAGCCCCTAAACACACACTTCTGATCACTTACCTCAGTGGCTATCCATTGCCCAGAAACTCAAGTCTAAATGGCTTGGTTCTGCAGCCCAGACCCATGACAACATTTTCAATTCTAGGCACATCTTTATTCCCTATATGTACTTGCCGTGCTCCTGTTAGCAGCTTGTCTGTAGACTTTAAGATGTTCATCCCTAAAGTCCTGCTGCTTATGTACTTGCCCCACGTCCTCCACGAGTTCAAATGCCTAGCTGCTCATGAAGTATTTATTGAGTACTAGAGGCCAGAGAATTAGGTTCGTACATCATTATGTCACCCCAGTAACTAACTGGCACCTTGTACTTGCCACATACCCATAAACCACTTACTGAGTCCTCTGACTCCAGCCCCTTGCCCCACAGATCATCCATTCAGACTCTTGCTACCTTCAATCACTTGCTAAACAGACAGAGAAGAGAGAGAGAGAGGCCCTGTGCCATTTCCCAAAGTTTCATTTTGCCAAGTAGCAAGGAGTCTGAGCTGGCAGGTTTCCTTCCAGAAGGCAAAACACATTCCAGGTCACAGGCAGTGGGAGGAATGAAATGACCCCATTCAGTTTTATCCAGTATGGAAAAATCCATAAGAAATAATGCTGACATTTTGTACAAGTTTTCTAATGGGAATAAATGTGTGGGCATGCTTGAATTCAGGGCTGTCCATAAAACAGAGGCCCCATTTAAGTAAACAAGAGCTGAAATTGAGTCCATATTAAAAGCAAAATTCTGCAAGCAGGCAGTCGTGAGTTCAATCCCTGGTACCGATAAAAAGGAAAAAGACACACAAAAAAAAGCAATATTCTGAACTGGTGAAGAACTTGGGGTTCTAGAAACAAAAGGAACAGAGTTCAAATCTCAGCTCTGCCATGTAGTAGCTGCATGAGTTGGGCAGATTAAAATTGTTTTTCAATTTCTGCATTATTTAACATGTAAATGGTAGCTTCTGTCTTATACAACTATACACAGATTAGATGAGGTAATGTGTATCTCTATATGGCACAAAAAAAAAAAAAGCATTAGGTAAATGCCAGCTGTTCATTTAAGGTTTCCTGTTACCTTCAGAACACTTTTTCCTCATTGAAAATTAGCAGATAGGGGACTTGGGATTTAGCTCAGCGGCATAAGTGCCTGCCTTGCAAGCAGGTAGTCGTGAGTTCGATCCCCGGTACCAGTAAAAACGAAAAAGACAAAAAAAGAGAAAATTAACAGATAGTCGTGACAGGAATCTATTCATTATATCTGGTCCAGTCAAAGGAAGACACATCTCTTGTCCTGTCCCTTCTCTCCTTTCCGCCTCCAACCAACCCTGTCCCGTGCAGAGGAAGGTAAGGGAAATGAAGAGGAAGTCTCGGCATCCTCTTGCCTACCCCCATGCTGACCTCAGCCCTGCCACAAGCAGGTGCTAGCAATCCCAGGATGGGGAGGAAGCAGAGATGAGAAAGGAAGAAGGAAGCTGACTGGTGGGAAACCCAGAGGTCAGGGGCAGTGGGGGCAGGAGCATCCCCTGGGCATTGACTGAGAGAGGAGCTAGCAGGACAACCTTTCCCATGAACCCCAAGGGGATGATGTCACCCCCAGAGGAAAAGCTAGAGGCCAAGCTGCTATCTTCACCCGGAGCGTGGGACCTTCTCTGCTCTCAGAGCTTCTTGTGCTTTAGGACTGGAGAGGGAACAATCTGTGTGGAAGCTAAAGAGTGGGATCAGCTCAGACAGAGCCAGCAGTAAACATTTCTACATCCCAGTCTCCAGACTAGAAGCTGCTTGACTATCTCCAAGTCTCGAGTTCTTCGTCAGGACAGTTTTAGTCCACTTGTTCTCAGGGGTCAGCTGGAGGGTCTGAGTGGTCCTGATTAGTTTGAGTGGGTATAGGTCTAACAGCCACCTCCCTTTCAAGTCCACATGTATGACTGAACTATCCAGCATCAAATGCAAAGCCTTTAATAGTCATATCCCAGGGAATCTCTTCTGAGAAAGGCCCTCAATGGTCTTCATCATGCTTTTTGTCTCTGTGCCACCACTCAGTCCACCCCTAGCATCTTCTAGTTTTAAGTTTCATCTTAAACATTTTCTGCACATTAATCTTTGGCTGGCTGATGTTTACCATGGTGTACAGTATGTTATGTATTTGGAGCTGCATGGCTGCTGATGTCCTCCTGGTGTGGGAGAGAGCTCCACATGGTAGTCTGGAGACCTAGTGACTAACCAGCTTTCACACTGACCTCAGCCCTAGCTAACTTGGCCACCTGCCACTGGGAAAATTCAGTAACCGTTTATGCATTGGTTTCTGAATGTTTGCATGATAGGCCCTCCCATGTGTCTAGCACATGCTGTTTGGCACAGTACTTGAGCCCCACTCTTGCTCTGGGAGGCTGGCTAGGCAAGGGGAGTAAGCCCCATTTTATGGATTAGGAAACTAGCAATCATCTCAGATCATCTTCTCCCTGTTGCCCAAACATTGCCCACCAGGCTTTCCTCATTATTTTCACCATATCTGCATGTGATTCAGACATCTGTTTAATATTTTATTTATATCTGTATATGCAAATAAATGTGTTCATAAAGGAACTTGCATGAAAAGTATATGACTTGCCATCAATAAACAATAGCTACAAATATATATGCTGTCTTGATCACCACCAAGAAAAATATTGCTCTAGCTCCTGAGGTCCTGAAGCTGTTAGAGTGAGGACTGAGACCCCCAAGGCTGAGTTCAGGCCAGTTCAGGCAGTTATCCTCCAGGATAACTGGCATCAAAATGCCATAATCCCTGACCATTCAGCCTTATGGGGTAGAAGTGAGAAGAAACTGGCCACGAAGCAGCATTTACCATGAGATGAGAAGGCAGAGCATGAAACCATCCTCCAAGGGCTTCTGAGACCCAATTCAGTTCCTTGGCATGAAAGGCTCTTCTTGACAGAGGAATCAGGGAAGAGGAACTAGCTGCCTAGGGCTTTAGGGACAGATGACATTGGGACACCAGATCCCACAGCCTGAGCAGGGTATTCTGGGGTCAGCTGTCCATGGGCACCCCCTCCCGGGCATACTCCCCCTGGGCCTTTTGTAATGTGGGAGGAACGGGGATGGAAGAAGAGGTGCCAGCATTCTCGGCTCCCTTCCCGAGCCCTGCTCTTGGCCCCTGACTGATCCTGCAGCTGTGCCCTCCATCCATCCATCTCACGCCCTCTCCCTACTCAGCCAGAATCCTTTGACACAGGCTCAGCTTTGCCCATGGACCTGGCAGTGTGCCCTGCCTCACTTCCCCACCCCCATTACTCACAAGATCCCCATACAGTTCCTTTCAGTCCCTGAGGAAGCTACTGAGGAGGCTGAGGGCCGGAAATGGGAAAAGCCCCATTTTTGCCAAGTGGCCTATTCTCCTGCTCAGTGAATAGGGACCTTCTTGGCTTTTGGCTGGGACTCTTAACAGGAAGGTAACATAGAAATTGTGCCAAGAGCTGCAGGAGGGAGGAGGGTAAAGAAAGGAGGAAATGAGGGATGTGAAATGATGAGCCTACTTTCCTAACTGAATCATCTACCAGGGCTTACATGTTCAGGCCAGAGGCAAACAAATGGAAAGAGAGAGCCAATGTTAGTTACCTCCTTGAGGGGTCTGCCCTTTGGCCTCACTCAGCAAGCCTCATTCCCTTAGAGCTTTAGCTCCTCTCTCCTGCAGTCAGTCAGGCCTTCGGACTCTCTTATCTGGATCATTATAATAACTACCTTACTCTCCTGACTGAATTTCCTCCATCTCCCTCCTCTACTCCACACCACTCCTAGGTCCTAGGCATATGCCTGACCACACTGTTCTCCCTTCAACACGAGAGGTCAAACTCTTGGGCATAACAGTCAAGGACACCCCCGCCCCTGGAGTCTGCCCTCAACAACCCTTTCAGTAGTGTTGCCTATTTCTCTGTACATGCCCTGTGTTCAACACACATTCAATCTGGCCTTCAGACATCTGCACTACTTCTGCTTTGTGCCTTTTGCTTATGTTTCACTATCTGCCTGGAATGCTGTTTTTCTCCTGTACATGACCCCGTTATTCCTCAGTGTCTAGCCCACATGCTACCTCTTCCACAACAGGACGCCTGCCCTGACCTCCCAGGTGGTGGTCATTTTTCCTTTCTCAGTGCACTGAGCCTGTGCACCTTATACAGCATGCATCCTCAATTTCTGTCCTAGAGATTTGCATATATTTACTCTGTAGGTTTGGAGTATAAATTCTATAGTCAGACTGACTGGGCCTGATTCTATCCTCTGCAGCTTCTCAACTCTAACTTGGGCCAAGTCATAATCTTCCCATGTTTCTATTTTCTGAATTTTAAAATGAAATAAAGAAAGTACAACTTCTTGTATTAATGTAAACATCAATACATGCTATTATCTTTTCTATTAAACCATATGTTCCCTGAAGACAGGATCTGTGTGTTTATATTTGTAGCCACAGCACTAATGCCTTAAACATATTAGCTCTTATTAACTGTTGTGTTCTGTGAATAAATGACTCTTGCAAACCAGTCGGATCAATCCAATCTCAAGAGTTTACCAAGTCCCTGCAACGTATCAGGTACTATGTTAGAGTTGATAAGGATACACAGGTGGGATAGTATTTCACTTACAATTGTCATCTGATTTTCATAGTAGGTATTATTGTTTTTGCTTTTGTTTTTCAATACTGAGAATTGAATCTAGAGCCTTTACACTGAGCTACAACCTCAGTCAATTTAATTTTTATTTTGAGACAAACATCTTACTAAGTTACTAAGTTGCCCAGGCTGGGTTCAAGCTTGTGATCCTCCTTCCTCAGCCTTCCAGAGTACTAGAAACACCTGCTTGTACCATCAGATCCAGCTTGAAATAGGTATTTTTAAAATTCCATTTTAGAGATGAGAAAACCAAGGCAGAGAGAGATTAAGTAATATGCCAAGTTCAAGTTGGCCTGATACAAATCCTATGCTCCACGCTCTTTTAATTAATCCTCACCTAAATGACAAAAACCCTCTTCCTCCTACTTTTAAACATCTAAGAAAACCAGGATGAGACCCTTTGCAAAAGTTTTATTTCTACCTAAGAAAACCTGTTCTTTTATCCCAAGAGCTAAAAGCCGTTCCTATTGTAACTCCTTTATCTCCCTTTCTCTTCGTTCGCCTTTACGGCCTTGTTCCTAAAGACTAAAGAATAGAGAAGTACATTTTGGGAACATTTTGGGAACACCAGGCTGATTAGGAATACCTCCTCCATCTGAGAGCCTTTACTGCTTCCCTATTTCTCAGCTAGGCTAGACATTCCCGAAGATGACTCTCTCTGACCTCCTTCTCCTCCAGGAAGCCTTCCTAGCCTGGCTATATTTTATGAGCCCTGATCACTCAGGCTTTATGTATTCTGCTTGTTCTACACTGACCTGAATTCAGGAAGAATGCCCTGTGGGTATCTTACATCTGCTTCCTCAACATGTTTGTGTCTATTCCATTTGTTAGAAGCCCACAAGGGAGCTGTGTGCAAGGAACAGCTGGTCACAAGGCCTTGTGTTCAGGCAGGGCCCCTCTTTGGCGGGTAGAAGTGGAAAGAGATGTGCTCCCTGCTGAGTCTTTGCAGCCCAGCCTCCTTCATCTTAATGAAGAAGTGCGTCAGCTGCTGCTACTTCTCTAGCCACATTTCATCCCTGAAACCTGACTCTATCCTTCCAGGCAGGAGGAATAGCAGATCTCTAGCCATCAACTTAATTCAGCCAGGACTCCTGAACTTTCAGCCTCCCCCCAGTACTCACTTGTTACAATGCAAATTTTTTTTCAAGAAATTGAGAAATTCTACTACTTTGGGTTTTAGGAAGACTTCTGTCTATATTTTCTGGTCCAAGGACAAGACCAAGATGAGGAGAACAGCAGAGAACACCCTGGAAACAGATAATTTCACAATCTGTTAGTGTTTCCTTTTGCACACTGTGGAGTCTTATCTGCACACTGTGGAGTCTTATCTCCACAGTATCTGCAGGATGTTTGCTTCTTAAAGGGAATTCAGTGAAATAAATGATGCAGAACTTGGGCAGTACTGCAGGAGGCCATTCCTGGGCACGAACCACTGTGGGATACCATGGTCCTGGGAGGCACAGAAATCCTGCCTGGGAAGAACTGTCTTCTTTGCAAAGCCCACCGCACCTCACCCCTACCCCCAACCAGAGCTCATCATGTAAACCAACTGCATGTGTGCCTTTCCTACTTCATTGCGGGCCTAGGATATAAACAAGCCAATACTTTCCTATCCCAGCCATAATCAACCTTTGTCTAATGCAGTCCCTGCAGTCCTTAGTAATGTTGGTTTCAGGACTACTTTCCTCTTTGCTCCCACTTGAGATACGGAGGCACAGAAATTTGGTCCTTCTACCTGAGCCCTGAGCCTGAGGTGTCAGAGAGTAAGATTCAAATACCTCATTGGTCTCCTTTCTGAGCAAACTGGCACTGGGGAGGGGGTGGAGACCACAGGGAGGGGTGTACTGCTCTCCCATCTGAGTGTCACTCTGGGCCCCCAGCCAGGCCTTTGGCTTCCTCTCCAAGAGTCAAAGGCTGGAACTGCTCAAACAAAAGACCAAATGAAAGCTGATGGGGAGCAGGGTGACTTTAGCCTCTCTCCTTCCTTCTCCTAGGGACTGGGGGCTCATGGCCTTGGCAGAGAGGGTACAAATCAAGATCTGGAGCTCAGCTCAGAGCAGATTCCTATTTGCCTTTTTTTAAATTCTCCTGGCATCCACAGACTGTCTTCTTTCCCTCACCACCTCCCACCTAGGGTGCTGTATAAAATGCAAATCAGTAGGATTTTAAAATTCGGGCCCATGCCAGGAACACCCACAAGTACTCCATTTAGGCAGATCCTGATGTGGGTGGCGTGGTTCCTTATTCCAAGCACAAAGAGGAGGATTCTATTAGTTTCTTTTTGCAGCATGGGCTTTGGACCTCAGATACTGTGATGGTCTCATCTTCCTTTCCTGGTACTGGACACTAGAATGGGAAAAATAAAGAGTTGTGTGCACGTGAACTGTGGCCACCATCCTGACATAAGATGCATGTTAAAACTAGTTGTATAGGAGGGACATGATATAGGTTAAGAAGAGCAGCAAAAGTCACTTTGGCTGTCATCAAATATTTCTGTGGACCAGTAAGTTTCACAACTGTCAACTCAGAAAGGGCTTCAGCAAAAAGGACTAGAGAAATGAGCATTAACCTGAGAAGGCAGACAGGAAGAGTGCCAGGGTGACTGGATCAGGAAGTATCAATGAGAACACCTGCCACTTAAAGCTCAGTCCTCACTCCCCTCCAAAGCTGGCACTAAACCAGTGTTAAGTTCCCTCCCAAGCAGGAAGAGTAGAGCCTTTGCAGGCAGAAGTGGAAAGCTGTCATGGAATCTGGACAGCCATGAGCTGGCACTTTCTGGATCCAGGTCTGTATTGTGCACCTGATGCCCTCCCTCTGAAAAGAAAGGAGAGGAGCAAAGTGAGACCAAAGGACAACTCGGAGAAACTAAAAGACACAAAGTCAGAAACAAAAACATGAGAAGGAGACTGTTGAAGAAGAGAAGGGCAGAGGGAAGGGGGTGTACATGCATAATATCTGCTTGAATTCTGGTGGTTAAAGAAATAATAAAGGCAGAAGGGGGAGTGAGGAGGGAGGCAGGTGGTGTACCAAGTCAGTGCGAATCAGCCTGGCCCTCCCTAACATAGCTTTCCAGTCACCTCCTCCCGTCCCCTGTTCGGTGATTCAGTCCTTCCCCAGACTAAGCTACCTCTCTCAGCTCCTGCACCCTGGGGCCTCCGCACGTTCCCTGCACTCTCTCCAAGCCCAGACCTGACATCTGGCTGGGCCTCTACAACTCCCGCTTGCGATCAGCCAGGCGGCGCCCCTCCTCCCGGCAGGGCCCTCCCCAGTCATTACAGCTGCCAGCCCCCTCCCTGCTGGCAGACAAGCCCAGGCAGACAGCCGGCCGAGCCTACCCCCGCAGCCGCGCCAGCTCTGCCAAGCCCGGCAGAACTCAGGGCCCGGGCACTGCCAGCTCGTCTCGAGCAAGCGGTCCCAGGTGACCTCCTGCCGGAGCGGTCCCAGGTGACCTCCGCCCAGTGCAGGGATGAGGCTGCGCACGCTCTTGGCCCCGCCGGCCCTGCGCTCCAGGTTACCAGCTCAGCCCAGCACCTGCGGTGTCTGGCTGGTTGGCCCTGTGGCTCCCACGCCTAGGAAGTCGGCGGCGCCCCTGCCTCTCTCGGTCAGTGTGCCATCTGTCTCTGGGTGCGCCCTCTCCCCACTCGCCAGTTTCTCTAGGTCACATTTCCGCCGAGTTGGTTGCTCTCTCAGTCACTTTTTCTGATCTCATCCCAACTGTCTGCCCGAAGTCGCCTCGTGGCCCCTTCCCGAAGGACAGGCTCCCTCTCTGCCTGGCAGCTGGCTTCCTCGCCTGTCTGCTCTGGCCTTCTGCGCCCCGCACACAACCTGGCTCCCCGGGGCCTGGGGCCAGAGCCAGGTGTCTGGCCAGAGGAACCGCCCTCCCCGTCCGCGCTGTCGGTTCCGCTCTTACCAGCTCCTGTTTGAGGCGACGCAAATAGCAGTCCATCTCTCTGTTCTCTTTCCTCATGCGCCCATTTGCCGGGCACGGCTCCACGGGCGAATCCTCGAGTGGGAACACCGAGCCCACTGAGAACCGAGCGCTGGGCGGTCTCTGCGCCCCGCATGTGCGCTCCCGCAACCCCGGCAGAGCCAAGCTGAGCTTTTACTTTTGCTCCTAGCTCCGGATTCGGAGCTGAGTCCCGGCGGCTCGCCGCGCGCTGCCGATGCCGGGGGCGGAGGGAAAAGTGGGGTAGCCAATCAGAACTCAGGGGGGAATGTCTTGAGCCTATGAGAAGAGCGGCCCCTGGGAGGGGCGGGGGGCAGCCGCGGGTGGGCCAGGACGCCAGCGCTTTTGGGGAGCAGCCACTACTGCGGGACTGGAGGGAGTCACCGAGTCCTGGCCACCGCGGAGGGGCGTGACCCCAGATCGTGCCAACGCCCCCAGCAAAGCATTTCCTCAGTGATGTAAAGGAAGAGCTCAGTCTTGGGCTGGGGACACTATTGCGTTTCAGCGCGAGGCCAAAGGGCCCCACTGCCCCTAACCTTTCCAACTCCCATCAGAGAAGTTCCTCTCCTAAATATCCCTGTCAGAAGCTCCTTTTTTTTTTTTTTTTTTTTTTGTCCGAAAGACGCAGGGCTCCACTTCATCTCCCCCAACATACGGTCCTCCCAGCCCACTCCTCCTGAGCAGAGCAGAGAAACCGCCTCTCCGTCCGTGAACTTACCGAGAATGATCCAAGTGGTTCTGCTGTGTTCCCCGCAAGGTTATAGGTCTGGAGATAACTGAGTAAGACGGACAAGATCTCTGCTGTCAAGAATTTATAAAAGAGGAGAAAGGAACATGAGCCAAACAGGCAAAAACACAGATGATAGTCTCAGAGAGTGATTTTAATGAAAACACGAAACGGACAATAGATGGGGGCTGTTTTCAATAGTGCTGGCAGGGAGTGGAGAAACAAACCTTGCTCTCTCCAAGAGGCCCCCTGTGCTCGCCTTTGTAAGGTCGGGAAGGGAGCGGGACTTAGGAAGCTGGAATTCCAGTCGGCAGGCACAGCTTGGCGCCTGAGGTACGCGAGCTCCAGCCCGAGCCTAGGAGAGGCGTTGTGGTCAGGGCTGGAGTGGGGCCACGCAGCCCAGCCCCTCACCATCCAAGCCGGCCTCTTCGGCCTCTCTGCGCTGCGCTCGGGGGCTGTTCCTCCCCTGAACCACTGGGCAGGGCCCCAGAGTAATTAGGGAAATTAGCGATGTGTTGTTTCAAGGTAATTAATGGGAAATGTTCGCTCCAGGCAGGACTTTGGGATTCTACTGGGCTAGAACCCTAAGGACGCAAAGGAAGGTGCAAAGGGAGACCACAGCACTGCTGTCATTCGGATGTGTCAGGCAAGAGTATCAATTTCTGCTAACAGTAGATAGATGAAAGAAAAAGAGAGGAGGGAGGAAGGGAGGATATGTGGAAGGACTAAGGAAGAGGAAGGGAGAGCACAGGTGGGCAGAACCTAGTCCAAGCCTGCGTCTCCTTGGCACTCTCTCTGCCCAAGTGTCCGCACTCAGCCCCACTCTGTTCGCAGTGGTGCCTGCAGAAAACTCAAGGGCAGCACAATAGAGTTGTGCGTCTACTTCAGTGTTTCCAATGCTTGCAGTCGAAAACCAAAATTGCATTTCTTTTTTTTCCAGGCCAGCAGCAAATCTACTCCGCAGGTCCCAGCATCTACCACACACCAAGCAAGACCTTTCCTAGAGACCCTTGAAACTGTGGAATGAACAGAGTGGCCGTTTCTGGCCTAGTGGAACAAGTTCTGGGGTCGAATACTCTGGGATTGGGATAGAAAGTAGGACATGGCCATTGATTCTCCTGTATGGAGACTTTCTTGCCTGGAGAGAAACACCACACAAGTGTTTACTAACCTGGAAAACCCAGCTTCAACTATTTAGATCTCCAGCCCACAGCAAAGGGGCCAATGTAAGGAATGCTGAGTAAACATTCATGGATCTGGGGCTAACATCTTTGGAGTCACAGGGATGGTTTTCTCCATCCCTGAGATCTCAGGGCTGGAATCCTCTTGAGAAGCCTCCACTTGGAGCCTGGCTACAGTTAAAACTCAAAGAGAAACAGGCTGATTTTTTGGCAAGAACCAAGGCCTGGGTAGTTAGGTTTTTTCTACTGTTCATAGCACAATACCTTTCACAAACATGTGCCTTTTCCTGGGCCTCAGTTTCCCTTGCTTGTGGTTTAAATCTATGTGAGCTTAACTCTTTTCTTTTTTTTTTTTTTTTCTTTCTTTCTTTCTTTTTTTTTTTTTTTGGTACCAGGACTGAACTCACGACTGACCCTGATTGAACTCACTACCGACCCACGGTTTCCAAGCAGGCACTTATACCACTGAGCTAAACCTGGGCCCCAAGAGCTTAACTCTTTACAAAACTCCCTTCTGACAATCATCTGTGAGGCAGTCCGGAAAAGGGCATTTGCCTGATTTATAGATGAAGAATACAGAATTAATAAAGGCAGCTCACCTTTCAGCCACTTTTAAGGTAAAAGATATTGACAAGGAAAAAACAATAACCTACTTTCAATGTGCAGCTCAAAAAAAAATGCTAGACAAGTCAGAAGTGCATATATTAATTACTATATGGTTCCCATAGGACTTTGGAAGGCAAATATGGACAAACTCTGAAGTCCTTTCATGATGATTGGGCCACTGCAACCCATGAGAAGACCAGTGTCATCCAGGGGGCCTCTTACCCTCTTCTTTTTGTGAGGATATAACTTTTCTCAAGGCAAAGTAGGAGGCAGGAGTAGGAAAAAGAACTATCTTTTGCTATTTCTTTTTCTTTTTAAAAAAGGGCTTAAGTAACAAAGAATAAAGCCTGTTGCCATGGTTATATAAACATTGATAAATATTCCTGGGCTGAGGATGGGGATTGGGAGACATGATTCATTTACTCTACAGAAAAATCAGATGGCTCAGCCTCCACCCTCCTGCCCACCCCCCCAAAAAACCTCATTCTGGGGAAAGAATAAAATTATCTCACTTGAAAATAGATAAAGGCCAGGCATGGTTGTGCATGTTTGTGGTGGCTGAGGCAGGCAGATTACTGTAAGTTCAAGAATTCAAGGCAGACTTGAATACATAGACCCCGTCTCAAAAACAAAACAAAGAAAAGAAATCAGAGATTTTGAGACTGATTGTGGGCATATTTTCTCAAAGCCATCAGAACTGTAATGGAAATTTCAGGGGCTGGGGATTTAGCTCAGCAGCATAAGCACCTGCCTTGCAAGTAGGTGGTCGTGAAGTTCGATCCCTGGTACTGATGAAAAAGACAAAAAAAAAAAAAAAAAAAAAAAAAAAAAGAACTTTCAGAAGCACCTGGGTACTTGTCCCCAGATAGTAGGGATAAGTAGATAGTGGGTGTTTTTCACGAGGGAGGAGGTATACTCCTGGAACTGAGTCCAAAGGTGTCAAATAGGTATGGTTTGCACCCAGCATAGTTGGGGAGTGTGGCCCCTCTGTATCCTGCAAGAGCCTAAAGGTCTTGGCACCTATGGATGAGCAGGAAGGGAGAGGCAGAACCAGCTGTGCTCCAACAAAGCTTGGATTCTGAATGAAACAATAGAAACTGTCATACTCCTGGCTTCAGATGCTCTGGCCTCTACCTGAAGATCCCCACTCACCAAGTCTTGGCCTGCTCTGAAAGACACACCCCTGAGCACAGTGTTATCTATCGTTTCATCTCCATAGGCAGCAGAAGAACTGGGAGTTTATCCCCATGTGAGGAAAGAGACATGTGCCACACACCATCTGGAAAGCACAGCCTAACAGCATCTTCCCAAGGGTGCGGTTTTTGTCCCCGCTGCCCACCTCCCTTACCTCTGTGGCTGCCAGTGGCCATTATCTTCATCTCTGTCTCCTCCCCCATGCCTCCTGAGCATCACCAGGAAAGGCTGACCCTAAAGATAAACACATGCTGTTGGAATGTGTTCAGATATCACTGCTGGACTGCTTCTCTCCAGGCAGAGGACTTGCCTGACAGGCTGGCCCAGAGGTGCTGAGCAGGCTCTGTGTGCGTGCCTGTGTGTGAATGCATGGGATGGTGGGTGAGGAAGTGAGGCCTTACTATTCTTGGAAGAGTCTCACTTTTGGGTCGCATGACATGTTCCTTCATCCACTTCAGACAGAGAACTAGAATTTTCTGCTCTATATAATCTACAGATCAGGAGGGACAACAGAATGGATGAAACTGTCTCTGTGTTTGGTAAAGCCTCTCAGTTCCAAAAGAATGATTCAATTAGGTTTTAATAATGATAATAATAATAACCCTTATAATTTCCCTAAAGAATCAAAAATCTCTAGTAATAAAACTTTGGGTGTCTTTGGGGCTGGGGATTTAGCTCAGAGGCATAAGCACTTGCCTTGCAAGCAGGCAGTCGAGAGTTCAATCCCTGGTACTGATAAAAACGAAAAAGACAAACAAAACAAAACTTTGGGTGTCTTCAAACAGAGTTCCATTCTCTTTATTTATATACAGAGGACCTGAGATCTAAAGTGCATGATCTGTTTGGGGATGGAGTATGACGTCCCTTTTTCTAGGACTGTGCTCTTTGTACTACTCTGTAGAAGGTGGAAAGAATGTGTCCTAAGGTAGAGCCACAATACAAGGATGAGAGCCATTAAGGGTATGTGTTCTTGTAGCTCTCCATTCAGGCACTTGCTGTCACTTTCATCCTTAGGGGTGATGGACACCACTGCTCTCACAGCCTTTACTTCCTCCCAAAGTCACCAGGCTTCAAGATCACCCTGTCAGCTTTGAGGGTATTAAAAGTTTTTGGAGGGGGACAAGGGAAGGTATTGGAGGAGCAGTACAGTTTTTGGGTGAATTTCGTATATGAATGGCTCCCAGACTCTCTCATCTGAATATTTCAGTGAGAATTTTAAGTGCAAAATTAGGTTGATCTAAATAATGAGCACTGTATTTATGGAATGATATTCATCCTTATGTGGAATTATTTGTAATTGTGGGCTTGGTATTTATGGGCCTAAGCAATACCATTTTTGCTACTTGGGGAGACAATATTTCCATTTTGGAAATGTTTGTTGGAAAATATTTTTCAAGTGCAAACAATACCTGAAGAATAGCTAAGAGAAATAAGTATTTATGCAAACTAATCCTGGCAGATGCAAATTGTACCAAAAAGAAAATGGCTTGCTTCCAGGACCTTCCTGGGGGCATTCTTTAATGTTTGA